GTCAGAACACAGCAGTTACTTTTACAGTCTCAGCCAGTTATGTAGGCTGGGAATTGTTAACTGTTGAAAACAGTCACTTGTTTGATTTTGACTGAAAAGACTACTTGGCACAGAACGTATGTTTTCAAAGGAGGGTTTACCTTTTGGGCAGTTGCACAGTGTCAGACATACATTCTGAACAATTCAACAGTGTATATTATAATAGTTATAATTCTTAACTGGATTTTAATTATGATAACAAATATAGTTACAACAATGATTTAATGAAGAATTCATCTATCCAACTTTTATGCTTCAGTAGAAATCGGCTTGAACACATGGTGTCAGACGTACTCAAATTGATTTTTGTGCGCACTTTTTAATCAACTTTTTAGTTAAAAAGTGACAGCTGAACTATAGAACACTGTTTTTAATAAATTATGTATATTTCAATCAAATACAGATAATCTTTAAATAACACAATTGTTTCATTTGTGGCATTTGGATTTTTAAAAGTGTTTTCATTGAGGTTTACAATTCCGTGGAAGAGTCATTTCACCTAGAGAGTGTTGCATGTATGCAATCCTCACAGTGCCCCTCGTCAAAGTTTTTAATAGGTTTTGAAAATCAAAATTTAGGTACAGGTTTTCCAAGCGCCAAAACTATAGGAATTGATATGACTTTAGGATGCAAAAATATAGCTACATGTAATTGCTTACTTCAAGATCTCTACACTAGATCAAGTTACATAATTTCATGCAAACTGCCCAATTCTGAAACACTTGTGAACAAAATCTAAAGCCCGGTTCATACTTCACGCAAATGAAAGCGAAAGCGAAGCGAAATTCGTGACGTCAACAATACGTACGAAGCGCGTCCACCATTGTTGACGACATGAATTTCGCTTCGCACTTGCTTTCGCGTGAAGTTTGAACCGGGCTTTAGAGATGTACATGTTGACCTGATTGACAACGTGGTTATTTTGGAATTTATTTTACAAGGCCTAAACACTGTGGGTCAAATTGATTCTTAAAATTTTCTTTAAAAATTTGTTGAAATGTATGCCGGTATAAAAATATCGATAGGTTCAATATTAGTTAATTTAACAATAAAATAGGCTCCCAAGTTGAAATATAACTTTTTATAGGTTTTATAATTTGAAACATTTCACTGTGAGGCCTGGTTATGTTATTTATGTTTTCTTGGGTGTGCCGGGGGGGGGGGGGGTGGCTGGGGGGGGGGGAGACAGAGAACGAGCTGAGGAGGGGTGGGGATGTTATGTACTTCACAGTACACGTACAGGCATTTGTAGACATTCCCTATCAGGTGCATCTAACTAATTCAAGCCCCATTGAAAACAGTGTAAAATGAAGAAAGTTCAGGGCCAAATAACATGCAACCCGACATCACTGGGGTTTCTCAAACAAGCATTAAATTATTGTCTTGTCCTTCATCTTTTCATTTCTTTTCAATTTTGGGTAAACAAGGCAACTAGCCAATTACATTTTTATATATTCATACCAAAACAAAATCACCTCCCGAAAAGTAATAGTTCCCAAGCCTACATTGTACATGTAGCCATTTTAAAAGTGACATCCTTCCACTTTCTCAGGCAAATAGGACCCATTTTTCATCCGTAATGTTATCAAGCCTGCCCTCAGATCGAAGCCCAAAAACCAGGGAGTTGATCCTTGGCTATATTTACACAATTCCACCGTTTTAAAAGCCAAACGGTCTCCTTTTTCAAAAGAAGTTGGGGGGGGGGCACTTTTTATGCTAATGAGCTTGCGTAGAAAGTCTCACTTGAATTAGTTCGCTGCACGGTCCCATTAACCACTTCAGCTCGCTTTAAAATGGCCGCTTCACGCAATCCAATCACAAGTTTCCATAAGCAGATTCTGCCATCCTTCCTTCTCGAATCCCAGCCTTTAAGGAAAATATAGTACACTCTGTCCACAGATGACGCGTTTTTAATCCCCTTAATGGCATACATGATGTATGCATACATGAACCCCGGCCTTTCATACGCCGCTAATTACGAAGCATGATTATCTGATGATCCAACAGGAAATCGCATTACTACAAAGGCCGACATCAAGAGAGTATATGTGTGTTGCAGGGCTGTTGGCGGTATGCGATCAAGTTAGTGACTATTAAAGCGACATTTATATGTTTGGCAAACAGCCCCTGGTTTTAATGTGATTAGTGTATCGGACGTGCATGCTTGAAATGATGTCTAGCATGTCTAGTGCTTAATACAAAAACAATGGTGTGTATATGAACACAGAATATAAAGGTTGCAGACAAGCACATCGACCGAAATTGCCTTCACGTACACCTACCAAATATATACCCTCGTTTTCAAGCACTCTTCTTCTTGGATTTTAAGTGATGTTATTTATTGAAAAAGATCAAAATGCAAGAGAAGCAAATGATCCCATGCCCCAAAGGTGGAATGTTCCCGTTCCGTTTTGAGAACACTGTGAGTCTGTCGCCATTTTGAAAATATCCAATCACTCCATTACAAAATACAGGGTGAGTAAAAAAACCCGAAACCCAAATGTCGGGACCATTGTTTTAGTGAAGTTCTGCATGTAGCACTTCCAAAATCTAGGATATGAAAGCCCAATTCATAAGCTTTCTTTTAGTACAAGAATCATTCAAATCACTCATGTACTTTGCAAGTTACAGAGTTTTAAACACAACCGCTGTTTTAAGGTTCTGTCCACGGATCACAAAAAAGTTCAGTGTTCTTTCAGCAAAACAAAAACAAATCACATAGGGAGGTGTGTGAATTGTTTTCGTTTTGCTGAAAGAACGCGCACCTTCTTTGTGATCCGTGGACTGAACTTTAAAACGGTGGTTGTGTTTAAAACTCTGTAACTTGAGAAGTACATAAGTGATTCGAATGATTCTTGTACTAAAAGAAAGGTGATGAATTGGGCTTTCATATCCTAGATTTTGAAAGTACTACATGCAGAAATTCACTAAAACAATGGTCCCAACATTTGGGTTTCATTTTTTTTTTACTCACCCTGTACAGCCACTTCTGGCTCCACTTTCGTCTGTTACATTTCGCAGTTAACTCTGGCTCAATATTCAGATCAGACCCCGGACCCTTACTTTGCTACAAATGGCAAGTGCAAGGGCTACAAAACTCTATCAAGGAAAAAAACAACCCTAATCTGATGAAGTTTCAGCTCAGCGGACATTATACTTTTCGAGAAAACGGTGAAAATTTTTGATGACGAAACAAGATCTTGGCCATGTAGCACTCTGTATTTCCAACGATCAGTCAATTGACCAATTGTCAAAACTCACCAACATGTTTCTTGATTTCTTCTGAATGACAGCAAGCCAGATGGATTAATTTCAAGGGGTGTTTAGTATCAGTATGAATTTTTGTCCAAGTAAGTTTGGATAATAATTTGGTACATTACTTTGGGGATAAGGCAAATGATCCTATGTGCCTTTAATCCGATGTCTCTTGAACACCTTTGAGAACTTTTTTAATTGGGGGTATTAATCATTGGCGTTCACCTTCAAACACTGTCGAAAACTTCCTGATGGCCGAACCATCCCCAGTGCAAATTTTAATTTATGATGTACACTGTAACAGTAAGCCAGTGTTGTAGGACTCGAGTCCAGGACTCGGACTTGAGTCGGACTCGAGTTACATATTTCGTTACTTGGACTCGACTCGAGTTACATTGGAAAATGACTCGGACTCGACCATGATGACTCGGACTCGAGCTTGGACTCGAGTCACATATTTTCATCAAAAGAGAAACATAACGTTACCGGTATGTATTTGTGTGACGACATATCATTCTGTTTTACTCCGTAGACAAAACACAGCGCTGCGGAAAATCGTATCCAGGGGCCGCACACGGGGTAGGGATGGGAAAGGATCATTGAGGAATAATGTTTGGGTGATAAAACATGGAGGGAAGGGATGGAGGAGGATTTTTTTAGGAATGGGAATTAAAAGGAAAACACATTTTGGGTCTAAACAACATGTACACACACAAGGTAAACTATATACAAATGTACACTGAAATTTACTTGGACAATGGATGATTGAAAAATAATTAAAAAAAATTTGATTAGTTTGGTGAACAACTAAGAACAAGTGACTCGGATTTGGACTTGAGGCTTGTGACTCGAGACTCGGACTCGAGGCCGGTGACTCGGGACTTGACGTTGGTGACTCGACTACAACTCTGCAGTAAGCTGACTTTGTGAATTCGCAAGCGTTTTTATATAGAGATATTCGAATTACATATGTATGAATATAATATACTTTGAGAAAATGGCCTTTTTATTGTGTACAATCTTTTATCAGCACATGTACATGTAACTACTGATGTTGAGAGTCAAATAATCAAAAGGTAAACATATTGATTAACATTCTCTAGAATCGAGAAAAAAATTAAGAAAAATTGTTTGCATTGCATTTCTTTACACAGTGGGAACAGATGGCACACTAATTTATTTTGTTGGATTTTTTTTCTTTTTTCCCCTTTTCTTCCCGAGCAATCAAATTATTCATAGATCGATATTTTGTGTGAATGTCCCATGGTGGGGGGTGAGAAACACGTTGATTGGGTTAATAGCAAACCTCGCGGGGAATTTGGGTGAGTTGTTACGCCGCGGTTAAGAAGCGTTGCGGTCCGACTTCGCGGTCGCAATTTAGTAGCAGAGGGCAGACCAAGTGTTTTGGGTCAATCAAATTAATGGCATTTAGATTGAAGGGGGGACGGGGAACTAGGCCACCCGAACCAAAGCTCGGGGGAAATTTATTGGAGTCATTTTCTGGCTTTAAATTGGAACGTGACCGGTTTCCATTTCGTGAAAGGAAATTCAGAAGCTTTTTTTTCCCGCCGATGTTTTGTTAACCAAAGTGCTATTCTTCGATTGAGACTAGGTCCAATATAATCTACACAGATCTATATGTGGGTGCACTGCAAAATGAATACTACCCGGTATCTAAAGTTGAAACTTTTGGAGGAATTGTTTACCTTTGGATAACTGGAGTTGTTTCCGACAGATGCAAACTGGATTTTGTCAACTGGTTGTTTCTGTGGGGGGAAAAAAAAAGCAAGGGAAAAAAACGCAAGATATTTATAATACAGATTGAAGATGGGTTGGAAAATGCACAAATTTACCGACATGAGGCATGAAATATTAATCAATAATAATTACAGAATGATTTGCTTGATTGAGCCACGACTTTGCAGATTTTATGGTCAGTTCATACTCGGGATAACAGCAAATGCAAACACAAATTTGGGATGTCACATCAGGTGTTCCCGCTGTAAATTAGCAAACACTGAACAAACTCTGTTGAATTTACATGTAAAGCGTTACCGTTTTTGTTTGGTTGCTGTAACGTTACTTTTAGAGATTTAAGTATTTAATAGCTGATTTTTTGGGTATAAAAATGTGATTCGTGAGTCACAACTGTCATGTCTGAGTCATGATGGTCGAGTCGGCGTCTTTTGCCAATGTGACTCAAGTTGAGTCCAAGTCACCCAAATTGCGACTCGAGACAGACTGGACTCGAGTCTAACAATACTGTGCACATGTGCCTACAATACACTGTACAACTACATTTAGTTGCCTGCAAATTGACCTATTGCCACTTGCAAGTGGACGCCCCTTAGACAACCCTATGGAGTTTTTGTACACTCAGTTTTGTTTGTCTCCGATTTTGCAAGTTCCTCGTCCATTTGTATCATGTAATTTGAAAATATTTCAAAAGCTGCATTGACGCGATTCTAATGCGATTCTACCACGATAGGTCAATACACCGTACAACTACAGTTGTGTTCATCTAGTGTGTACATGTACTGTACTCTCGGTTCACAATTTTTCTTTGCATCAATGACCGAGTGCAAAATAATTTAATAGTCTGCACAATGCATTATAAAGTATGCATTATTTAGTTTTTGAAGGACACCCGCAGCCTGGACAATTATCTGGATTCACTCGCCCACGATCAGCATTTTCAGCCTCTACATGAGTATGCATACACTACTGCTGGAAAAATACAACTTTTTATGATTCCCTACTTTTTTGGGGGAAACTGATACATGTACCGTACAAAATGACTTGCTGCCGAGACGTCATTGTAGCTTTATATAGCTCCATTTTCCCTGTACCATGTTATTCCAGAACTCAGACTAGCTTGGGATTACATTTCGTCTCCAGAGAGAGCGATTGCAGGGATAGAATAACAACGTTTGATGTTTGTGTAATGCTGTGGGCAGACTTTCCGACATCCAAAACTGAAAGGGCATTTTGCTTTGGCTGAGATCATTGAGTAGACTTTTGTTAAAGTTACTCTCGCTGTGGAACTTTTTGTTTAGTCTTCTCCTAAAAAACAGTACATTTTGTTATTTAAAGTGCTATTTTGGTAGCACTACAAAAGTTATTCTCTTCTGAATTTTCAGAATCTGAAAGAGACATTGATCAATCTGTCCACCTTAGTTATGAAAAGATTACGGTATTTGCAGCCCAACAATAACTCAGGCATATCATATCAATGCCTCAAATTTTGCAATAGAAATCATGGGAAATCACTCACTGGACTTTTATTAAAATTGGTGGGCAGAATCAAAAATAAAAGTACAGGTACCGTACTTTCAATTTTACCTCCATAAAATGATTAACTATAGATTGAAAATTTTCCTTTATAATCTTTTATTCAGAACCCACACAATGTACAAATATTCATTGATTTGATTAAAATACATTAAAAGTTGCTTTCCCATGCTCTTTTTTCTATTCATAAATTTTCAAAATGTATTTTTTTCTAAATTCTAACTAAAAAAACCTAAATTTTTCCTTCCTTTTTTGGACTTCTGAAACCCTCTAAAAAAATATTTTTGTTTTGTTTTTGGCGCAAACAGATTTGCTTTGCGAGCAGACTGACTCCCCGTCCATACACCAGAAGAGCAGAATTATTGTCTTGTAGCCATTAATTCAAATTGTAAAGTATTAATACAGTAACTGGACTGATCGTTTTGGTCGATGCCTCATTTAAAAGTAAATAACCTTTGTATTGCTAGAATAATAGCAATTTAAAACAGGAATCTATTTTTCGGAATGAAACTCCACAACAGCACGGGGGAACACAACTTTAAGGTTAGGCCTACATGTACATTTTACCAAATCACTATCCATCCAAACAGTAACCGACCAAATTATTGTTATTAGCATATTTGGTTTAAAGATCAGGGGTGTGAGTGACCACTGATAAAAATAGCTGAAAACAGCTGGAAAAGGTGTAAAAAAGCTGAACTCTGGAAATCTCCTATACTTTTGTACACAGCAAGTGAAGGAAAAAAGCTGAAATCCAAAACAAAAAAAGCTGAAACCAGCTTTTAAGCTGAGATTTCACACCCCTGAAAGATATTAATGCCATTAAACTCACAGTGAAACTATTCCTTTCTGGCATGCTGTGATTTTGAAGAAAACAATAAAAGGTCATTTCCAAAGATGAGTTAATTTTTGGAAATTTCTGTTTAGTACCTTTGGTTTGTAATTGGGAGAGTCCGTGAATGGGTGCGCGCCTATATGAGAACGTTTTCCGGATGCTGATTTTGAGAGCAATTCAATATGACGCAGCACATTTTGAATTGAAATTGAGTTCCTAGAATATTGTTTTCTCGGACAATAGGCCTACAGCATTCACAGAGCTAAAACTTCATCAGGTTAGTTGTTCAGCACTCATCTTTTGATTGTGAGCACTTTTGTTGCTTCAAATGAAACAATTGCACAAAGGACAAATGATTTACTCTCCGGTACCTTTTATGCAATATTTGTTAGCAAGCTGGCAGTGTTTTTTTAACTGGCAGTGTTTGTTAACAACTGACAAATTGCGACAGACATTACTACCGGTAGGCACACCTACAGCAAACATTGTAATGAACATGTACAATGTGTATCACAACACAATATGGTTGCAATTTTCTCAATTTCGGACCATCTGGTTCCAGCAACGACTTGATCAGAAATCCCAGCAGGACCGACACTGCGTTACAAGCCAATCTCAGAAGTGCAGTCACCCTTACGACCCGCCACGCTGACCTCAGGTCCGTAGGAAAAAAGTTGAGCATATTCCCCAAATGCCCCTTACTGGTACTTGTTGATACGACCTGTGCTGGGCTTGTGTTGTGTCTACTTCCCTGGAATTGTGTGGCGATTGCCACTGAACTTGGCAACCATGTATGCCACATGAATTTGAGGGGCAGAATTTCTGATTCAGAGAGATCTTGGAATCGTGACTTCACTTTTTTCTGCAGAAGCAACTCCCTATACAGACACTGACTCCAAAATCTTAAATAATGAGAAATACTCTATTAAGTCCAAATAGTTTCCAAGGATTTAGTGCAAATAATATCACCTTCACACACAAAGTTTATGAAAAGGTCACAAATAGAGGAACTTTCTTGTATGTAATTCAAGGGTCCTTCAACAAAATAAAAATATGTCTTGAGCCGCAATTTAATTTCTTGCCTACTATACAGTACATGTATATGTATGTGAAGTACTTTCAAACAATACTTAAAATATTACCTGTGCGTATGTACATGTTAAAAGCCTTGAAAAATCTCTGGCTTAACTTGATGGTTTGAATGATAAATGAAGCATGGCCTATAATTGTTCTACTTTGTAACTGCAATACTTGAATAAAAAAACAAAAAATACTTTTGTCAGTATTGACTAATTTCCAATATGATGTGCAGACAGGATAATTGTGCATGTAGGCCCCTATGTTTTCCAAGTAAATATCTTCAATGTGAAACTTTCGTGATGTCAACAGCAACTTGCCAAAGACCAACACTATTCAACGTTGACCTGATAAATCTCAAAACCGCAAAATGTCGCAAGAACTTACCATACAATAGGGTCTTTCTAACCCTATTGTGCACTGCAGAAGAAAAGGGCAGTCGTGAATTGTATCAGTAGGTGAACCACGGGTGAACAGATTTGTGCACATTAAAAAACCAAATTGTCCATCCGTGTCAAACCACAAAATGGCAAAGGCTTTTGTATTGCTATCGTACACGTACAATGTACACATATGCACACACTTAATTTATGGTAACTGTTAAACTTGTACAGAGCATTGTAGTACATTGTAAAGCGTGTGGGGGGGGGGGGGGGGGCAGGACACCATGTTCCTGTAGGGTGCGCTGTTCCAAGCGCAACAAAAATATTGCCAACAAAACGATTATAGGTGGTCTTGAAACCAAGACTTTTGGCAAAAGCTGAGAAAGTATTCAAATTTATTCTAGGAATACCAGTACATTCAATTTGGTTCGGCACAACTCTGGCATGGCAGTCTAAAATAGACTTTAAACAAAGAAACACTAAGGCCCCCCAAAAAAGTCTCCGGTTTCTGGTATGGAGCTTACCCAAAAAGTGGTGCGGAGACGCGGCTTTTTTTTTTTTTTTTACCTGATTTTTTTGCTTCAAATGTCGGCTGATGACTGCAAATGGTGCCAGACTAAACTTACATGTAGTGCAAATATATGGGAGTCCAGAGAGGCCACATAAAGCTCATTCTCGACCATAACCCAATCTAAAAACACGTTAAAATTGTGCAGCAGCAGGATTCCAGTCAAACCAGTGAGTTTGGCGGTTTTGAGACATCATCTTTCATTGAAAAAAAAAACTTTTTAATTTTGCCGACGCGCATGGCTACGGCGACGCGCGTGCATACCAGAAACCGGAGACATTTTTTTTTTGGCCTAAACTCGGACTTTCCTGTTTCTCTGAAAGCCAATCTACACACTTTAAAGTTTGATACACATCCTTGTTTGTGGAAAACTTCCAAAAACACATGTTTAGTCTGTGACGATGAAGTCCAGATTATATTCGATTCTTGCAGTTTTCGAAAATCTCCCCTGCAATAGGGTTGTGCATCGGAACCGGGTACCCGAGTTCCCGACTGCTGATGTCAGGAACCGGCTCCAGATTATGGGATCGGGTACCAGTAACCAACTTTACAAAGTGCTTAGTAACTTCTCAGACGATGAAAAAGAAAAGTTTTGAATGTCATTTGTGTGGAATCCAAAAAATGAAAACCAGGTTACATGGAAAACCAAAACATATTTCACGCACTCGCGAAGGTTGCAGTTTACACCGAAAAGCTATAAGCTCACTGTACACACTTGTACATGTACAATGTATGTATCTTGCTGTCCTGGCGCATCGATGTGGTGGTATTATAGTGCAGACCTTTGAACACAATCTGAACAGCACCTTCCGAGATGTGAATTTTGGGTTGGGTTTATTTAACGGGTACCCGGTTTTTTTTTCTTCTTCAGTCCGGTACCCGGTTCCGGAACTACCCGTAAAAGCACACCCTAATGACACCAGTTGTGTGATAGCCCTTGCCCTTTATCACAGACAGCGCTCCCCCTCCAACCCCCCCCCCCCCTCCTCTCCCCTTCCCCCCTGCTGCCTAATATGCCTAATTTGAAATCCATCTTTTGCTCCTTAATCAAGGACAGACATCATTCACACCTGCTGGTACAATCACAGTGGGTATCAGAGAGAGCCTTGATGTTATAAATTGGTTACATGCTTGTCAATAAAATATTGATATTGATTCCGTCTGGAAATGTCAGCCAATGGTGGTAGAACATTTGAGCAATTAAGGGGAAGCACACCGTAATTTTCGGAATATAAGCTGCGGCTTATACGTTGATTTTGCCCATGAAAATGTTTACTGCGGCTTATACACAGGGCGGCTTATAGTATACGCCGAGCCTTGAAAAATAAAAATAAGATTCACATGTGTATTTAATGTTCTGGTATAAGAAGAGATGTGTTGCTGAAAACAAAATTAATGGATTCGTCCATAAAAATGTCGGCATCGTTTTGACTATTTTCGAAGAAAGTTACAAATACAATCGAAACTTGAATTTTTAACGTTACTACACGATAGTAATCGCAACAATTTGATAAGTTTTGAGGTAAAAACAGACCTGTTTATTCTAAGGACAAAAACAAATCAGCATCTGTTGCCACAAAGCAAGATTTGTAGCGCTCCAGTCAGACAACATACAGTGGGTTGCATACTCTCTCACGTGCTGCGGGAAAATGTTGTCATTCACCGGCGCGGTGCAGGCTGCCGGGCCATGCACTAACTTTTATTAGCCGGGGACCGGACGGGGCAGCCGGCAGCAATTCCCGTTGTTTATTTCTCATCATCAATTTCCATATTTGTTTGTATGAGTATCGATTGTAAATGATCTGATATAACTTTTGTGGCCCTTTTTATAGCTTCTGTAGTGTAACTGGAACTGGTTCAGAGCATTTTGACTAGAATTTGGAGGCCTTACAAAATTGAAACCGCTGTGGTCGCTGCGGCTTATACGCCGGTGCGGCTTATACGCGGACTTCAAATCTTAATTTGCAGATTTTTGCGTGCTGCGGCTTATACTCCACACGGCTTATATTCTGAAAATTACGGTACAACCAGTATTTTAAAAAGTGGACTGAGTGCATGCACAATAGATGGCACTTCGTCACTACTCTTGAAACCTCGGGTGGGGGTGGGGAAGGGGAACCCAGCATGTCCACGCACTGATTTGCACGTATAGGCCTACCGTATGGCATGAACGTGAACTACACGACAAGTTTTCTTCTGAATGTGCACAAACTGTAGCACCAGCAGCCGATTTCACAAAACTTTACGCAATGGCGTAAGTCCACTTGCGCCACAATTTATTGCGTTAAGTTGCGCAACAAAGTTCTGTGCTTAATACTAGTGCCATGAATCTGGCTCCTGGCAGTACCTCCACCAAGGAGGCATTTGGAATTGAACCCGTGCAGCATGTTGTCTAGACGCAATGTGCTTCGGTACCACGCTGTGCTGTAAGACAGTATGCAAGAACCCTCACGTCTTGCAATCACAATCACACTGGGACTCCTCGCTTCAATTTTCCTGCACAAATTGCGTCGCTATTCCAAAATGTCCACATTGAATTCCAGTCATCAGAATTTGCATAATTTCTCTGAATTACAAATTATGTTAGAAATAACAATGTGAATTACTATTGGTTAGGGCTGTCCTAAAATACCGAATAGTCCAATATTCGATCATCAAATGAACACTGAAATAGATTTTTGCCGGTTTGACTATGTGGAGAGAAAGTTAAGTTACGCATACACACACAACTGTGTTTGATAATGTCAGGTGTCACTTTTTTGTCGACTGTAACATTTTGGTCAACAATGGTTCATTCAAGGGCGTCAATTGCTTCTCAAAAGTGTGGGGGGGGGGGGGCATACCGGAACGGGTACCTTGTTCAGCACTGATGCGAGCGCGAAGCACGCTTAAATGGGCCCTGGAATTTTTTGGATTCTAGATGCTCTGTGGTGCGATCTGAAGCAATTTTTGACCACTAAAACCAACTTTTGTGAGCAGAAGATCAACTTTAAAACATGATTATTTTGAGTTTGGAGTCATTGAATCAGCTATTCTGAGCTTATGTTGGCAACAATACTATTCGGTGATGAAAAAGTCCCCCCACCGATTGACGCCCATGGATTCATTGTTCAAATGAATGTCAGACAAGTCGACCGTTGAGACAACTCGACTCGGGACAAGTCGACCGTTGAGACAAGTCGACCGTTGAGACAAATCGACCGTTGAGACAACTCGACTCGGGGAAACTCGACCGTTGAGACAGCTCGACTTAATGGAAATGTATACACGTGGAGCAGAAGAAGTTGCAAAAATCTTGTTGCAGGACCGGTCCCGGGCGCGGCACGGGCATACTCAATGCACAGAGGGCGATCCGATCCGGTGGCCGTCGCGTTGGGCCGGCGCGCCCTGCCGCGAGGATCGGGCCCGGCCCGGCACGCGGGCATGTCAACCGGCGCGGCAAGTGGGCGCACAGGCCAGCCCGGCAAAAACAATCACGCTGCGCTATATCGGCTCTGTTATATGCAACAAAAAACCTCATGTGTCATCACTCCCAAACGGCGATCAGCCGCCGTCAAAAATCCCCGGTACTATCCCCGAAACTAGGCCCAAAACATGCGAGGACACTTGTCTCAACGGTCGACTTGTCTTTCCATTTATCGCACATACTGTCGAGTTGTCTCAACGGTCGAGTTGTCTCAACGGTCGACTTGTCCCGAGTCGAGTTGTCTCAACGGTCGACTTGTCTGACCCCCGTTCAAATCCTTTTACCATGTTAAAGCCCTTTAGTTATAAAACACTTATTGCAAAACACTCCAGGGCCTCATGTCAATATCAATAAGACTTTTCTCATTAATAAAGGATTTTTCAAGTTTGAAAAAGGTATAATTTTTTACAAACTTCTTTCAACAACCAAATTGTAGGGAGAGAGACAGTTTTTCAATTAATTAGAATCAACCACCATGTTTATTTCTTGACTAAAACATTGTTTATTTATCAGCATAACCACTGTTTATTTATGGCTTGTTTGTATATGACTTGTTTATCAATGTACCCAGGACTCCCTTGTTTTTAGACAAAACACTGTTGTTCTTGTTTATCTTTGTAATAATCTAAGGTAGATCTTTACTGAATGGTATAGATCTCTCCTCAAGATTATGTACCCATGTGTACAACTTAAAATCACTTTTTTAGATATTGAGCAAGGCACATAATTTTTATGAGCACTTTCACGGTAATATGCGCCATTTTGCTTACGTGGCAAAAAACATGCATTACCAGACACAAGCGCATCTAAGTTATAATATCTAAGTTACAATGCGTAGGCCTAGTTCAGCAGTTGTCTAGTATTGTGCATGAGGCCGCTGTCATCTGCCAACTTATGAAGGGGAAAAAAATTCAAGACCAGTTCACATCTGAAAAAACACTTCGTATTATTCCCAAACCTACAGGAGTACAGCAAAAACAAGATGACACTCGGATTCCACAATTAACTTACTTGCAGAACACCATGTACCCCGCTCAGTTTAGGGTTGACATCTCTGCTACTGCCCCCCTTCATCTCTCCACCGGCTCCGCCCACTCTCCCCAGCTCTCGATCCGCCGACCAAACCATCTCCTCTCGTCTCCTTCGACCTTCTTCATCTTTTTCCAAGACGAAGAAGAAAGTCCAGGCCGCGACAAGCTGGACCACGATGATAAACGTGGCCACGTAGACAGCCCTCCGGTACCGGTAACAGAGCCGCGAAGTCCGCTTCATTTGCCCGCCGTTGCCCGCCGGCGACGTCAAGGCCACCACAGCGGACCGTGATTGAAGTTGTGTTGTTTTCCGTGCGTCGAGCACCATCATGTACGACCACCACGTGAAGTACTGCTAACACGTCGACTGCCGACATCCATGGCCTTTTATAGCAGCGCTACCGCCAACAAATCACGGCCATACTGTTAATGAAGAGCATGATCAACTTTTCAACTGTTACACTGTTCTGTGATCAGGCCGACTTAAGACTTTCTGGACGGCAGCGATCACCAACAATTCCTTTCCATCGTGCATGTCGTGTCGCCACCACCGCACGATGTGCTACGTAGCAAATCACTTCCGGGGTCATGTTTCAGCCTAATTGAATGAGGGCGCTATTGCACTAATACAGTACTGAGAAATTATCATAGTGGAAATTATGGATCTGATCCAAGCGCCGCACGAGAAACTTCGTCGTCTGCTTCAGAAAAAAATAAAGGATTTCAACGATACATGCTTACTTCCTTCGCGAAATTAATTTGGAAGTTGATAGCTTTGTCGGATACCGTTCATATGTCACTATAAAAATAATTATTAACACGAACCTATGCACAAACGTGTGTCCTTCGAAACAGAACGAGTTTGAAAGTGCGCCAATTTTTATTATGTGTATCATTTTAATTTTTAACTGCACAATCACACAATTACTATCAAAATTGCAAATCCATTTATTTCCTTTTTCAACACTGCACAAAATAGCAACTAGAATTATGACTATATAAAAAGGAGAATCTAGGGAGTTGCATTTCATTTGGAAAAATTAACCTTTATCATATATACACACAATATCAAATGGGTGATTTTCATAAAATTGTGTAGGCCTTAGGCTACCGACATGTGTAGAGTACACATACTCGGGCCCTTAAGTTAACTGGGAATATAGGTGTAGCTGAAATTAACACAATTGTTTATCACCGAACCACAATTGTTAAGTTGCGTACCTACCTCATATTCATAATTGGCCTGCCTAGCCTGGGCTTAAAGTTAACCTGTGCACTACAGCAAAATGAATGGCACGGGTAAGCTAAATCATCGTTGCCTCACTTCAAAATCTGTAAAATCTTTCCAAGCAACGTCTTAATTTAAAATCAACCACTGCCCGTCATTTGTAAGTCTGAAACTGATAAGATAGACCCAATAGAGGCCGCTACCAACACCAACTCGCGCCCTGGCGGCCATGCCGTGCTAGCTGTGCACACGTGTTCCGGCTATGCCGATGAATTTTAACGGTGATGCAAAAGTACCCCCTCAACGGCGAAGGGAAAAGCACGCCTTCCAGACCTCTTCCCCAGGGCTTACTATATTTTCAACTCAGGAAGCTAGCGGGTATGGGTAGTGGTGGGAGCGTACCGCTCGACACTCTGAGAACGAAATAGGTTCCTCGCTTCCCGTCATGCACCACGAAATCCCATTTCCCAATTTCTTATCGATTAGGAAGTGGGAATCACTATTCGTTATCCGTTTTTCTGTCGAGAATGGAAATGGGAATCGTTATTCGTTTTCCATTGTGCTGTCCGATGGGGAATTGGGAATCGTTATTCGTTTTCCGTTTCGCTGTAGAGTTGGGAAGTGGGAATCGTTATTCGTTTTCCGTTTTGCTGTCGAAAATGGAGATGGGAATACCGAATAGTTATTCGTTTTCCGTTTTGTTGTCGAGAATGGAAGTGGGAATCGTTATTCGATTTTCGTTTTGCTGTGGGGAATGGAAGTGGGATATGTTATTCGTTCTTCGTTTTGCTGTCGAATAGGGATATGGGAATCGTTATTCTGTCGTTATTCGTTTTATTGCTGTAGGGAATGGAAATTGGATTTGTAATTCGTTCTCCAATTGTTTCTGTCTTGAAGGATATGGGATTTAATTGATAATTGTTGTCCTTTTTGCTTTAGTTCAATTGAGAAATTGATTTGATTTGATTTGATTTAATTTTATTTGATTTGATTTATGATACAGTTTAAATATAGGGCCTAAGATAATATTTAACAAATCACATCAACAAAATACGGAAGGAAGGCAAACAATGTGTAATTTCCTACTGCGTTTTATGCAAAGCACTATTGTTTACTTGTTTACTTTAAAAAACAAAAACAAAAACAAGACACGCCAAGCGCTCTCCTTCGTGGTTTACCACTGGAGGGCGCCTTTCAACATCACCGGTGAGTCATTTTTGTGACGTTTATCGTGAGTCCCCTTTCATGCCTTTCCATTTGGATGAGTCATCGCGATCGTTGTTTGTGAAGTTCTTCGGGATCGGTTTTATTATTCCTCTACAGCACACGTTGGACAACACATCCGCGTAGATCGCCAGTCCTTAGAAGCTGAACTTGCTGTGCCATTGCGGTGCTAGGTAGGTAGGATTTCGAGGTGTTTGTGTTATTTTTCTTGTCATCAAAATTTGTTGTTTCACGAGCCACCGCCCTGTTTCGGTTGTTCGTGCACTTGTTGTGCAGTGCCAGAGTGCCAGTACAGTAGATCGACCGGACTGCAATGCAGCACAGTTTTGTACTACATGATTTCCTGATCAGGGGAACATCTTCATGTATACTCCTAGAAGTAGAAGTAGAAGTAGAGTTCTGGGGATACTTCTAGCATTGTCTAGCCCCATAAATGTGGCCAATTTACTGGACTACCTCCGTAAAATAAAGGCCACACTTGGATATGTACAAAAACATGTAGAACTTTGTCAAATTTAGATTTTCACATTTATTTAGGCACGTTAGGCTTAGTTTGTAGTTTATTTTTGCTTTAGAAGCATACTCACCCTCTTTATAAGCTAATTGGAAAGTGCTGCCTTTTTCAGATGTCTATTTTTCGTGAAATTTCCTGTTGAAATTTTGATGCGCAAATGTGTGGAAACGAACCTGGAAATTTCACGAGAACCTGGAAAGAATGTTGGGAAAGATTTCCATACACGAAGTTCACTAATTTTCCTCTGTATTGACTAACAAGCCCCCAGATAGCAATTTTATGTCATCAAAGTCACTTTGAGCAGTGAGAAAATACAAGCATTTTCTTAGAAAACACTTCAGTCCAATCTCATAGGGTTTGTACACAGGGTGTTGAGTGAACTTCGTATATGGAAATCTTTCCGAATGTTGCAATCTGACGTAGTACGCACCGGTATAGACCTAGCCCCACTAGCTTGAGTAACTCCAGCTCTAAGGCCAAAAAAAAGAAAAAAAGTTCAGCTTCCGATTACATGGCATTCCAATATAGGGTAGGTAGGCCCTAGGTAGGGAATTCTTTTTTTGGCCAATTTTTTGTGTGTACGATCATATGGAGGCGTTTGCGTGCAGTCAAGGGTAAAAGGTAAACATTTAAGGTTTTGGGTGTTTTTCCTCATTTTTTCCATAAAAAAATTAGGGTAGGGGCTGTCAGAATAGGGTAGGTAGGGAAACCGGAAGCAGAACCATTATTTTAGTTTGGCCTAATGCTTATCGCATTAGAGGTGGAAGCGCAACTATGTCGAAAGAACTACATCGTAAGAGTCCCTATTAAATCACATTGCCCTGTTTACATTTTTCATACCCTGCTAATTTCTACTATGGTTCTGCTATTATTTTTTTATTAAAGTCACGTTTCTTCCACTTTACACAACAAATGTGTAGGCCTTCAATGTCATTTTAAGCATGATGAGGAATTTGTGCTGTGTTTGTGTGATCGGCTGATGCGTGTTCAGTCGATCGTACAGCGCTATCAATTGATCATGCTATCGGTTAATCACGCTGCCAGCAGTCGAACACCTTTTCTTATTCACGGCTCCAGTAGAGGTTTTTATTTGTAAAGACTGAGACATCCGTCATGATCGACCGATAGCGCAGCGTGATTAACTGATCGCGCGGTGTGATTAACCGATCACCCGGCGTGATTAACCGATCGCCCGGCGTGATTAACCGATCGCCCAGCAAGATTAACCGATCGCGCGGCGTGTTTAACCCATCGCGCGGCGTGATTAACTCATCGCGCGGCGTGATTAAACGATGGCGCTGCATGATTAACCGATCGCGCAGCGTGATTAACTGATCGCGCAGATTGACGGACTTTCAACCCAAGCAAGCCGAATGCAATGGAAATGGCACAAATTGAAAGTTATTGGCAAGCTTAAAAGTAGATCCATGGCTTCCATGCCAGTTGCCAAGGGATCAACCATGCATGCCATCTAAAAAGAATGTTATTGACAAATTTTAATACATATCTGCTAAACTGATCATCACAAATACATTGTACGGTGTAAGCAGGCCCGTCACCAGCCCTGAGCATTAGGGGGGCCAAAGTACCAACTAGGGGGGCCCACTACCTTAAAAATTCAAAAATACACATGTCCAGGGCTCGAATTTCATGAAAAAAAGCACTAGACAGCAGGTCTAGTAACGAAGAATCTTACTGGACCTGAACTATTTTTACAAGACCTGTGTCATAAATAAGAAAAAAAAACACATTTTGCACTACATGTATGTGACAGGAAGACAACAAAATGCTACATGTATTTACGAGTTGTCTGTTTCGTGTGTGCACTTGACTAGTTCCCTGGAAAATTAGTCTAATTCTCTTGCAGGGGCACAGCAGTCCTTCAGTTAAAGAAAATCCAGGAGAGCTATAAATGCTCTCCTAAAATCTTTGAGGAGAGCAAATGGATTTTAAGGAGAACGATTTGCTCTCCTTAAAATCCATGGATAAACGACGGTAAACATTGTTTTTGTTTTGTTTTGAATATCAGGATTTATTCAAGGGGCTGCACTATTATTAGTTTTGGCATAATATGCTCAAGTGGCTTAACTTCTTTCATTTTTGTAACTGTAAGACAAGATAAAATTTATATAAAAAAAATAACTAAATGGAGATTAATAAAAGGTTTGAATTCTGCTTACGCTTTCTTTTTTAATACAGTTGTCAGTTGGTTCATCACTTAATTATTCTTGGAAAATGGAGTTAATAAACGGCACATAAACATGATAAAGCAACTGAATATTTGTTTTCAGATTCGTTGAAATTATATGAAAATGTTCAGCCTGAACTATTCCCATTGCACTTCAAAAGCTATACAAAAAGGGCCTCAAAATGAGGAAAACTTGCCTTAAGTGTTAATGAAAATATATGCCGTCGATAATCTTAAAAATAATGGAAAATGCAGGTCATTTATACCATATGCACAATGCTAGTTACGACGAGAAGCTGGTTAACAATGTCTGATCTTCGCTTGGTACGAACGTGCGATGATGCACTGTGTGTTGTGGACCGGCAGTGGGCCGGCATTGAGCTTCGTTTATCAGTATGTGATTTCGGTGAAACTCGCTGCATCGTTTCACTTCATATACCAGTAGTATTTCCTCGAAATAAATTCATGAACACGGGAAATACATACACAGACAAGAGAGATCAAGTTCCTTGAGTATAACCAGGCCCCCCCCCCCCTTGACGACTGGCCTGGGTGTAAGAAATGACAATGTGATCCTAATGCAATGGAACATCATGGTACTAGGAACTACATGTAAATTGCTAACAAGCATTAACAAGTAAATTGTTCCAGATAATTTTGCATAGAAAGCAATAGACACCCATTGCACTACTTTAAAAGTAAAGACTTTTCTTGTTTAAGGGATAATATTCAATGATGAAATCTAATCGAAAAAAATGTGGCTGCGATTTCTGTAGAAGGATTTTTTTTGATGACGCAATTCAGCCATGCCTGCACACCAACTGTACTAATCACTGATGCACTTCCCACTTATTTTGACATAACGATTATAATACAGTGTTTATGATGTCATGAAAATTAGGTCTATTGTCTAAATTTCAGGGCACTGCATTTGTGTGGTTAGTAGGAAAAGCCAAACCGCAATCCAGGAAAAGCCAAAACGCAATCCACCCAAACCTAGATTGCAACACACCCAGTGTGTTGCAATGGGTCAATTTATGGGGAAGCCCCACTTACACAGTTAGTACACAGTGAGTGATATGATTGGTTAACCCCATAAATATCTCAAACTGGTACATGTACACGTACGTGTACATATCACATGTACATGTACCGGTATGTTTTTAGCTTGACCTTGTGTGACTAACCATGAAACTTATGCCTCATTGTTGTTTGTGCATGACAAATATTTTTGTTTGGAAGACATTGTACATGTATCAACAGACTGGAGTTAATGTGCGTATTCTGCATGTTACTATTCAGGAATGTGTACTTTGATTTTCTCTTTCAGTTTCCATTTGTTCATTTCAATTTTTTTCATTTCATATTTGTCGGTGTTTTCAAGATTTCTATTATGCAAGCTTTTTTTTTTTTAAATACTGCCAAACATTTTAGACATTCCTTTTGACTTTCATCAGCCATGCAACTTTTCCTCGAATCTGCTGATTTCCTCATTTTTTACTTCTCAAGAATGCTATTACAAGTTGAAAATGCTGTACAAAGTCTTGTGTGGTTTGGAGTTTACACATTTGAACAGTGCGTGTTGGATTGATTGATTGAGCAGTCATGAATATGTAAATTCCACATTTTATGAATACTTATAGGAATAACTCTGTATTATGATTATTTACAAAATGTACGCTTTGTTATGAATAATCATAAGAATTCTACTTGGATATAATGAAATGCACTTGGGTATGAGTTAATATGGAAAATGCACTTGAGAATGGATACAGATGTTTGGTAATGAATATGTATGAACAATTGAAGATGCTTATATGAATATGCATGAATGTTCAGTTGGTTCAGGTACAGGCAAAAGGGAAAGTGCATTTTTAATTGAATATGCATTGGAGAGAACATTTCATGAATATGTATGAACCTCTCATGTTGAAATTGTTATCTTTGTTATATTGCAGGTCTTTACGGGATTCTATGTACAAAAACCGCATCAACATGGCAGGTCAGATATTTTAAATTAATAATACGCAAAGAGTTTAACAGCAATTAATCACTAGTAGATTTTGTTGGTGTTCGGAATTGCGACGACCTTGAAAGTGTTCAAACCAGCAAACTGTCGGACTTTCATCTTTGGCAGATTTTAACCAGTGAAAAAGTTCATGTACAGCGTGCATGTTCCATCTTTACTGTGCATCTAGTTTGCTTGAAGATTGATTTAGTTATCAGACTTGTGCTCGTGGAACACAGAATATGTAGTGCGTTCGCGTCCCACATACCAGTACCAGTACCACTCGACCTTCAGTCTCACGACATGTGGGACACAGACGCACTACATTTTTGCGTGTTCCACCTTTCGCCGGGTGTGATAACTAATAACATGATGAACGTGTTTAGCTGGTTAAGCCACATGGTATGGGCCTTCTGCACAAGTTGGCCATTTTTGTAGTGTTCCCTGAATGTATTTCATAAATTGTGAACTGTTCAATAAGATGGCGCCAGACTATTCATTCACTATAGCCTCACTTTGTTTTTTGTTTTTAAATGTGGCTTTAAACATTAGGATATGTTTAATCACAGATTTTAAATGATTCATCAGAGCAGACTGGTATTAGTATGTAACGTCATTGCTTTCATTTCTCTACACAAGTTCCAAAAAGTGAAGATTTTACCTCACTTTTAATCCAATATGGCTGACTCGTGAATAAGGCCCATACCCTGTGTGATTCCAATCATCCAAAGTCCAATTATTATCACCTAACAACAGAAACGAGACTTATAGTGTTACAAATCTGCAAGCCAGTCTTAAATTTCATAACACACAGGTTGTAATATCATTACATTTTGTGAAATGAAAGTGAAAGAAATGTGAATGCGAATCCTTGAGGGGTTTGTATGGCTGCAATATTTGATTAAACAGGGTAACTATGCCAGAGTGCAAAGTGTGTAACCCCACGTTTTTTTAAGTGGTGTTGTCCAATGTTCATCCTGTACAAGTTTTACAGTTCTTAATCCAGGATTTTTTTTGGGGGGGGGATGGGTTGGGGATGGTTTATGGATTAGGGTGTTCGCGGTTTGCAGTTTAGAACAATTACTTTAATACTCAAAAGTCATTAAAAGATAAAAAGGGAAATCAATTTTTTTTCATTCTGTTTGTTCTTCATCAACAGGGAATCCAGAGAGGAAGAAGTTGAGGCCAGGCTTAAAACTGACGCCGATCCGTGTCGACACAACACAGACAGACAACTCCCGGTAACTAACCAACCAACAGATCTGGGGTATTCTAAAAAAAAAAAAATAACACCCACACAAAATCTGTGGAGAGTTCCCACTGGAAACAGAAAGGGTGTCACCCTAAAATTAATTACTCTTCCACACAAATGATTTCCAAAATTATCGTCACAAGATTTTTTTTCTTCTTCATTTTGCATCTTTATGAGTTTGTAGACCAATTTCTTAAGGGACACCAATTTCATTTGTTCCAGTGTCATTTTCACACGACTTGCATATAACAAAAAAATTGAATGCGAAATGTTGAATTTTTGAAGTGGGTCTTAGACAAACTTTTTTAAAAAAAAATTCATTGTACCTGGGAAAACAATTTCACTCAAACACATTTTGCATTGATTAACAGACCGGGGTGGAATATTATCAATGCCAGGCATGCAACTTTTCCTTAGATCTTCTGATTTCCTCGTTTTTTATTTCTCATGAATGCTGTTACAAATAGAAGAACACCGTACAAAGTCTTGTGTGGTTTGGAATTTCCTCGTTTTTTTTCTTCTAAATTCCCAATTGCATGCCTGTAATGATCATAATAATCAAATGTGTTGTCAATTTGAACAGTAATTTGCATGCATACTAAGTGTTGACCTCTCTTTGCACATACCAAGTTTTAAAACAATCAGTCATTGTATTTCTGAGATCCCCCAACAAGATGGCTGAACAAAAAAGAAGCTCTTTTAGGGTTAACCTGGCCTCCTTATTTGACCCTTATTAGGCCGCCGGGCAATCTGGACAACCAGGCGACGCTCAGCATCAGCGGCAAAGGCAACTTTGTGGTGCGAGCCGAGGACTTGACAGACATCGCCGAGTTGGGGAAGGGTGCTTACGGCGTTGTCAGCAAGGTCGTCCACACTCCCAGCAGCACAACCATGGCAGTTAAGGTACGGTTAGGCGGTACCCGCCAGTATTGTAGTCAAGACCCTGCAAGATCACCACAAAACCAACACAAGACCTTCAGTCTCAAGTCTTGTCACAAGCTATTCAAATGAATTGCAACAAAGGCATTCCTTTGTTATTGGTCATCCACTGTTACTTGTGACTGGTCTTGTGTCTGGTCTTGTGTCTGGTCTTGTGATGGTCTCGACTACAACACTGGTACCGTGGCTACATGAACATCAGATTCGAACCAGCCAACCGATTCCGTTAGCTCGGTGGTCGAGTGGTTAGACGTCTGCACTAAAAAACAGGAGGTCGTGGGTGCGAGTCCCACCTGAGTGATTTTTTTCCAACTTTCACTCGGGAGGTAACGCACTGGGTTTACAGGGTTTATACGTTGGTGAAGGGCAAAACCTAAATATTGATTTACATCATCTGACGCAAATTTCATCTAATAAATAGTTTCATTGCACTACCGGCTGCTACATGTACCTCGGATTCGAACCAGCCAACTGATCCTGCAAGCTCGGTGGTCGAGTGGTTAGATGTTTGCACTAGAAAGCAGGAGGTCATGGGTGCGAGTCCCACCCGAGTGATTTTTTTCCAACTTTCACTCGGGAGGTAACACACTGAGTATACAGTGTTTATACGTTGGTGAAGGGCAAAAACCTAATAATGAGTTATGCAACAGTTGTGCGTATTTTCGCTTTAAATGATGAGAATCAAGAATCAAGGAACGGATTCACGATAGCCATAGCAAAACCACGGTGGTCGCTGGGCCATCACAGTGCGCACGAACCACTAACCATGGTTGCACCGAGTTGACCTCCGTGTGACGTCACGACTTTGCCAGCGAATTGAAGCCAAACAAATATTAAAACAGGTTACAGTGTACATTGCTTGTATCAGTTTTCTTCATTTTCTTATGCGTGCTTTTGTTTATTTTGCAGAGAATACGAGCTCAGGTCAACAAGCTGGAAGACAAGCGGATCCTGATGGACATGGACGTGTCCATGAGGAGCTCAGACTGTCCCTGGACTGTGGAATTCTACGGGGCATTATTTCAAGAGGTGAGAAAAACCAGAAAACAGAAATGTACAAATCTTTGGGTGCGTTCGATTAGCTCACCTGGGTCAACTCGGGTATTAATCCTAACTCCCTAGTGAGTACTGGACCAAGTCCGCCAAAATCCATCACTGACCCTGCTTCACATAATGCTTTCCGACCAAATCCGCTGAAATCCACCACAAGACCACCATTGCTATTGGTGGATTTTGATGGACTTGGTACTCATGGCTTGCCTACCAAAATCCCAAAAATGGTGGATGGATTTTGATGGATTTGGGAAGGTTAGGGTTAAGGGTACTCAAACTTAGACCATCATGATCCTCAGGCGACATCCGTTGCCATGACCGCAAGCCGCAACCATGGAAAAAAACACCCTTCTGGAACTAAGCCTTACTTTGAGATCTACTGCTTCTCAGTCAATCGCAACAGTAACAACGTCGGGCTGGAATTATAGCCTCTAAGGTCGCAATCCGATCAATAACTAATTATGTTAAGGCTTCAAATAAATTGACCTTGACCTTTCTCACTGTCCGGGCGCCATATTTGTCGGTTTCTTGGAATGAACAATGCGTGCGTGTGAAGATTTACACCACTTACTCTGCTCCACAAGAAGGGTCTGTGGTGGCTCAGGAATTTTGCCGTCCGCGCATGCGTACATCTTGTAACTCAGGCTTTTGTGCTTACAGGGTTAGCACAGAATTTTTCTGCTAGCACGGTTAGCACAAAATGGTGATGGTAAGCACGGAATTCTGTGGTTAGCAGCGCAATGAAATTGGGGCCTGGGTGAGCTCCAAGAATGACGTCTGAGCTAATCGAACGGAAAGGGGCTAACCTGAGCTATTTGAATGCACCCTGTATAGCATATAATGTGTGTGCATCATACACAAGGCATTGAAGCCACCTCGAGTGACTTTTTGGCCCCCCAATATGGCCAGTCCCAAACATCAGCTCATATTGTTTGTATTGATCTCTCTAAAGATCAGTGCAGTACATTCCAGCACTTAGATCTGTGTACATTCAGACCTCCCAACATGGCGCCTTTATGACTTCAACCTGTGATCCATATGTGTTATTCAGTCAGTAAGAAGATCAGAAGTCATGCTCATTTCTTAATAAAAAAACCTTTAGAAAGTCAAGCTTGTATTGTAAATCAGTGTTTTATTTCCTTGGTCCCAGGGAGATGTCTTGATATGCATGGAGGTTATGGACACTTGCCTAGGGAAATTCCAGACCAAGATTAAAAGCATGGACGTCCTCATACCCGAAGACATCCTCAGTAGAATAGCATTCTCGGTAAGTCAGTTAATATGTACATGTACAATTGAGCAAGGTTTGTCTATAGGAATTTAAGAAATTTTGTTAACGTATAAATCTTCCCCTTTCAAATTAATGGTTTTTAAAAATGGACTTTTCCTTATTTTTCCCATTTTATGGTTGCGTGTCACAAGTGTAAAAACAGAGAAATGTGTTAAAAAATTTGGGTTATGCATTTCTGGAATCGATACACCAGCATATCAACTTTAGAGGCAAAAGTACCGTCGGAAACTTTTACAGCATATTTGAGACAGATTTACAATGTAGTATCACAAATTTGCAAACAACTGAATATTAAGGGAAAAAATCAGCCCCACATCTATTTTTTTTTTGGGGGGGTTCACATCTCAATTTCAAGCCAGTCACAGATCCAGTGGTCGGAACCCCCCTCCCCCCAGCTCTTACCTTCCAAAAAATTGAATTATAGCAATTATCATAATAGTAAGGTCTGCCTATCCGCAGCAATAAGACATAAAAAAATCTGACGGGCGTGAACCTCTCCCCCCCCCCCCCTGCAAAAATTCCTTGATCCTCCCCATGTAAATGTAACTAAATGCATGCAAGCCCTGTATCTCAAACTCTCATTTTGACACAACACATCACAAATAAGGGGTTTGTTTTACCACTCCACATGCTCCACAATTCAGGGTAGTTTACCTCCCTTTTATACTACCCTTGAAGACCGAACAAGCCCAGACACAAAAAAAAAAAAAAAAGAATACAACCCATAACGACCTTGACCAATCTCTGTAAAGTGTGTCACTCGCACACTTGCATTGTCATGCCAAACCCTGGATTGTACTTCCAGGGAAAACAAAAAGAAAAGAAAAGAAAATGAAAAAGTTCGTAGAGGAGTCACCCCCGCGATTCTCAGAAAATGACTGAGTGCCCGAGGGGCCGACACAAACTCTCGACAGACTTTTCTTCCCGCGGAGTTAGTCATGTCAAAGCCCCCAAGGAGGAAATAGTTGAATTAACCCGTTGCGTGAATAGTCCCCGCCGCAGGGACAAATCTAGCAGCGTCGTCATGAAATATGATTTGGCCTTCAGCCGAGTCAACGTCTGACACTCTAGTTTCGCTATTAGAGAATTTCCTGGAGTAGTGTTCTCTCAGGAAGTGGAATAGCTTTGCCTAGATTGTTTTTTCCTCGTGTTGTGGTTAAAGAAAAAAAAACGGATGGTTTCCATTTTCCAGGGGAAGTATCTGTGTTGGCATCTGAACTCGCAACGTTTCTGTAATACATTATCGTTCTCTGTATGTACATGTCAAACTAATTTTTCTTAGTTTTAAGAGCAGCATTTTTTTTCATTGTAAAAATCTGTTGTAATCCTCGAGTTTGGTATGATATTGTTATGAACATTTCTGAATCCTTTGAAATCCAACGTTGTCCAATTTGAACATGTCACTACATTTTATGCACAATTGCATGTATGTAAATTTGCATGACAAAATTGGACGTCTATTAGCCTACAGGGTATGCTAAGAAAACCTACTGCTATAATGTTGTACACATTCTTTGACCAATATTGATCCGAGTACATGTAACAGTATGGCTCAGAATGCATGTTTCAATAGGAGGGTTTTAAAGGGAATATACAACATTTGCAAACATCGAAAAATAAAACTACTAAGTTTTTACGAAATACCTTACTAGGATGTTGGTAAATGACAGTCTAAAGCATCCTGTAAAATTATGGCACCTGGTGTGAAGTCATTTTCAAGAAAATGGTATTTTTGTATATGTTTTCAGCGGTGGTCGGCCGACCACCGTTGGAAAAGCCTAACTATTTTGCAACTACTGCTCCAAATTTACCATTTTTTTTATTCAGTTCAAATTTTGTTTGCTATTGGTTACATGTTCATGAACGGGTGCAGGCCAGCTAGACTGGTTCCCTTGCCTTACAATTTTCCATCATCTATAAATTGATCCATTTTATCTTTTGTGGAGTCAGGGAACCAGACTACTTGAACAGTTTTGTTTTTCTTGGTTTTTCCAACCTTTTCGAACACCAAACTTCAAAAATGTCAGTGTAACAATATTTGATCTATTATACTAACCTCTCAAATAGTTCATTTCTGAAAATTACAGCAAAAGCCAATGATGTACATTCCCTTTAAAATTGCAAATCACTGAGCTGAGATAATGTTGGAGATATCTACAATATATCTCTGCAATTGGCATATATGCACGTGCGTAATAGCACTAATCAGTTGTAAGACAAGTAGCATTCGATTGATAGAGGAAGTTATTGCCGTGTGTGTTTGCAATCTCCAGCCACGGCCAGCCACTCCACGTGTTTACTTTGAGTCATCGGTGGGCTGCCACTGATGCTGTACATATCGGTACACGTTGTCCCCCCAAAAATGGAAAAACATTTCATGTTTGTTCACAATGTTTACAAAACAAGGAGGCAAACATATAGGGGAAAAGGCTTAACCCTAATACCTCCGCAACTCCATCAAAATCCATCTCTCATTTTGGTGGATTTTGGGGGACTTGGTCTTGCAGGCCTGGTTTGACTAAATATTGACTGAGTATGATGGACTTGGGCCTGGAGGCTTAAAACAAAGCATGCATTGAAAGCAGTGTGATTGATGGATTTTGACGGAGTTGGTCTAGTACTTGTTTCTCGTTCTATTGTTAAGCACTTTGAGGAATAGTTGATTCATATTGCGCTATATAAATGCTGTTTCATTATTATTATTATTATTACTTGGTAAAAGACAGTAGGGAGTGGGGGTTAAGCCCCTAAATGAAATTAATAATTTCATATTCCGTGTATAAAATTGTTGTTTCGTTATTCAAACCATGATTCTCTAGGTTGTTGTGGGGTTATGTTCCTATCAGTTGAGTATTGTTTAACAACAAATTAAAGAAAATTGATTGAATATAATAAGGGTTGTGCTTGGCTGGTTTTTAACAAGTACATAGCTGCCAACTATTACAAATTTTTCGTAATTATTACGAATTGTTTGTTAAATTACGAAAATACGAATTGCCACTAAAAAATTACGAATTTCCCATTTTCTACCTAAAAAAAAATACTTGTAAAGTATCGTTTTTGCCCGAAAACTTCTGGCAAAATGTTACGATAATGGATTGACTGGTGACAAGTCTAATAAGCAATGTGGTCAAGCACCTGATAGACATCTATGCGGTGTGCGCAGTGGAGTACTTGAGGACCAGACTAAAAATATTTTTCAATGGTGTGTCATTATTTTTGCATGTGCACCTCGTGGATGTGTGGTCATGGTGGTTGTGTGTACTGTGACTACTTTTCAGTGATGACCGTGAGCACAATTGGTCGCTTATTGCCGGGATGAGACCCATCAGTGCAAGATTTTAATCATGCAGTTTAATAAGAGTATGGCTGGAAGAATTGTTAATAGAGTTGGATTTGATCACAACGTCCAGAAAAGATAAATCAGCATGCATTTGCAAGGTATGTTGGCGGGATATTTGTATTGCATACGGTGGCCCTAAATCATTGTGTGTAAAAACATGATACAAACTCGAAAACTCAACATCGAGAGCATGCATCTCAAAAAAATATGCGCACATGTTATTATTGTTATCAATTATTTGACTTCATCAAACAAATACAGACAGTAAAACAAAATTAATTTAAAAAATTCATAAAAAAACTTAAATTTTTTTTTTTTTTTAAATTATCCTATGGCCTACAGTACATTATTAATCACAACAAAAAGGGTATGCACATGTGTGTGTACATGTAAACCATGTACATGTACCTGTACTCGATGTTGGTAAAGCTGGTACATACACTGTTAATGTATACGAGCAGTTGAAAATGACCGCGCGGGTTGATTACTAATTGGGATTTTGACAAGTTGGAAGCTATGCAAGTACGTTTAAAACCGGCTAGGAGCCTGGTCGCTGATAATGGCCTGAGCTGAAGCCGACGGTCATTATCTGCAGATATGGTATGTGCCTCGTGCACGCAGTGCTAAAAATCTCCTTAATATGGAAATTGGCATGTGCCTGGCGCCTTCTGCGCTATGTGACGCAGAATACAGAAATTGCATTTAAAACCAGCCGGGGTTTTATCAGCGGTTTAAGACCACCCACATGACGGGCTCTTGACCAATAGGAATGGGTAAACTGTCACAGGCATTTATGAATGAGCATTAAATACATGTACATGTACACACATAAATGTATACATTGTACAAACTGAAAATTATTGTTGAGCAAAACTTTAGAAACTCTCAAAATTTCCCCCAAATATATATTTTTGAAATTGCAAAATTTGCTTTATTGTAGCTCAAAAAAAGATTCACAGGAGAAAAAGTTGTACAGAATCTGTGGTAACTGTACTTGAATGTACAACAGTGTAATTTTATAAAATAGAATAAAGTTGACATATTTTTAGTAGTACTTTCATTAAACCTCGGTCTAGCTTCCCATAGAGCTAAAATATATCTCCCTTTCTGAATCTGGAAATCCTGAACAAATGTTAAAGATATATCACCGTATATTCACATGATATACAGTGCCTGTACACAGCTACATGCATACATGTAGCATCTAGAAATGAAAGTGATATTGCTGTTATTGTAAACACATGCATAATACCGTACATATCATAAATGGATAGAGATACAACACAGTCGATAGTCCCTTGTTGCTACCGCAATTACCGGTAGCAGCAATAGTACTACAGAAATCACTGTCCCTGTGTGTCATACACCATTGCCGATAATAGAGTCATTGACATTTACATGGTCATAAGCACGTGTCTGTTTGCTATGCACGGCTCGGTGTGTCACAGCATCGCGTTACATCGCTATTGATGACCAAGCCACTTCACCTGACTGAGTCATTGTTGATCTACGGGAATTTCCATTGGGAAGATCCTTGGTTTTATCAATGGAAAAGTACTTAGGGTAAATCCGATACACATACTAGACTACATGTACTAGTGAATATTGATGTCTGTATACATGGGCATTATACAATTAGATTGATTATTCATGCCCAAAATCCATTTGCACACATATGTTCATCTGGTGTAACACAAATCGAAAGTAACAGGTACCATTTGAAGATAATTTGAAGCAAAAAGGCTTGCTTTTTAGAAAACCTGGTTATTAGAAATAGTAATAGTTCCAGATATTAGATATTATTGTTTGTTCATTTTGCAAACATCTGTCAAGTTAAAAAACTTCCCATTAATTTTTTTTTGCATTTCAAATTATCTTTTAATTTATTTAAAACAATTTCACAAATTAATACAGCGATTAGCCCCGCAGAATACATGTGTTAGAAATTAGCATACAATTTGAATAAAATATTTTAATTGCTTTCACATGTGCCAATCAGAAGTTTATAGATTGCTTGAGCTCCAGTGATTGGGCATGCAGAATACAGAATGTATTAGAAATTAGCATACAATTTGAATAAAGAATTTGAGTTGCTTTCACAAGTGCCAATCAGAATTTAAATAGATTGCTTGAGCTCCTGTGATTGGCCACACAGAATACAGAATGTATTAGAAATTAGCGTAAAATCTGCATAAAATATTCGAGTTGCATTCACATGTGCCAATCAGAGTTTAAAGATTGCTTGAGCTCCAGTGATTGGCCACACAATACATTAGTGATTAACATAAAATCTGCATGAAATATTAGTGTTGTATACTAAAATACCACCTCTGTTTTTTTTTTCTTCTGTTGATTAAGATTGTGAGCGCGTTGCATTATCTGCAGACAGAGTTGAAGGTCATGCACCGAGACGTGAAGCCCTCCAACGTCTTGGTCAATCGCAACGGCAGGATCAAGATGTGCGATTTTGGGATCAGCGGCCGGCTCGTCGACTCTGTTGCCAAGACGATTGAGGCTGGCAGCAAACCGTACATGGCGGTAAGCATCCTACCCAAACAAGACTTGTTGGACCAAAACAAGGGTCAGCATTACAGTCCTTTGACTGACTGAGTAACTGACTGACTGACTGATTGACTGACTCCCCGAGTCACTCCCCATGAATTACGTCTGAAACAGGGATTTTCAGGTCCAGCTCGACTAGGCAGGCTTTCAAGTATTCGTATTTTTTCCTAAGTTTCATAGTTTTTCCTACTTTTTTGTCCCACAACTCTAAACAATTAAATCTTATTGAATATTTTTTCATGACGATGTTACACACTGTAAATCACACAATGAAGGGCATGGGCACAGGAGTACATGTACATACCTTGAACATACCTTGAAGGCCACACCTCCATCTTCATGTCATGTATAAGAGACGTGTGGCAGGGTTAAGGGGGCTTCATTTGCCCATTAAAAACCCTGTACTGCAACTGTACTTCCAAGAGTTTTAGTTGAGGATGGAGCACAAGTGTTGCGTGTACAGAACATGCCAAATGAGGCTTATGATGCTATGGACATGGCGAGCATCAACGAAAACTACTTCTGAAAGCTCGCAAAAGTCGTACAATTACCCTGATTTTGTCCTCCAAAATCCTACTTTCGTCCTTTTTGTTGTTGTTGTTGTTGTTGTTGATGTTGAAAATTTTGATCCTACTTATTCACTTGAAAGCCTGACTAGACAAACCTAGTCGTGGTGGTTTTACGATATTAGTCAAAATGTTTTTCTCAGTGGTCCTTTTCTCACTGCTTTCAGAAATTCATGAATTTAGTCTGGCTAGGGATATGGAATTCTACTCCTGAGGAAACATGAACAGATATTATCACATGTAATATTGTAATTGGCAACATTGGTTCCTTTTTTTTTTTTTTTTTAATTGCATGGCGGTTTAAGTGCCTTGGCTGTGCACAATCTTGAATCAATCAGAATTTTGCAAAACCTTATGTTGATGGTAAGGATTTTTGAACTTTTCAAAAAGATTTTTAACAGTGTTATAGAAAAAAAAAATACTCTAGTATTTTTTTATTTTCTGTTAAATCCAATTTATTTCCTGTCATTTTTTTTTTTAGCCGGAGAGAATAGATCCGGATATAACGGGCAATGCAAAAGGGTACGACGTCAAGTCAGACGTGTGGAGTCTCGGAATAACGATGGTAAGTTCTGAGAATGAACAACAAAATGTACCTTATTAATAAAATGTACAACAGTTGTGATGCGAACAAGCTAAACGAGTCGTTTGGCGGGAACTTTCATTTGGAGATTCAGGCCAAAATAGGGCCACATCATCACATCACTTCATCACATCTCTTGGTGTTCTGACTTCCAGAATTTTTGAACTAAAGATGGTATCAGCATGCGGTTTTCACAGCAGTAATGCTGAGATTGTGCTCTTTTCAAATCCGTAGAAAAAAAAAAACCAATTGACCAGGGTTGACAAACGACTCATTTAGCTTGACCGCATCACATTTGCTTTTGCTGTAATTTTCAGAAATGGAGGGTTTTTGGGATTAGTATCTTATATCAAATATTGTTTCATAGGCCTGTTCTAAAGTTTTATGTTCCATAGATGTTGGATAATCCTAGAAAAAAAAATCTGTTCTTGTAGTCTGGTTCCCTGAGCCTACTTCAGACAAAACAGAGCAATGTATGACGTCGGCGAATTGTCAGGTCAGGGAACCAGACTTAGCTCGCTTGCACCCATTCATGGGTGTGTAAACCGATTTGCAAACAAACTGTGGACTAAGTAAATTTGGTAAATCGGGGAAGTATTTGAAAAAAGTCAGTTTTTTTTTTCAACGATGTTCAGCTGTCTACTTTCCATGCTCAAATCCATTGATCATGATTCCTAATCTATAAAAACTGGATTTCTTTTCTTTGATTTTTCTTGTTTCTTGTTTTCGTCACAGTATGAGCTAGCAACAAATGAGTTTCCATACGAGAAGTGGGGGACGCCCTTCGCCCAGCTGAAGCAAGTTGTCAAAGAACCCTCGCCCAAACTTCCCGGGGGGAAATTCTCAGCGGAATTAGAAGACTTCGTCGATCAGTGGTAAATATGCAAAACCCTAACCCAGAGGCATTTTTCATGGAAAATCTATTAAAAAAAATACTTTGCAGTACGCAAATTGCTCAGTCATTTGTCAAAAACAGAATTGGGGTTTTACGTGTATCTGTGATTGTATGAAACAGATTTAAATTTTCCGGTTATGTGAATTATTTTTTTTTATCCGCCTGGCTTTCAAGCCAGACAGGGAGATATTGCGATCGCGTATTCCTTCTGTTTGTCCGTGTGTGTGTGTGTTCCATTTCACTGTAAAGTTCAGTCATCAATCTCAACCACACTTGAAAGGTGGTGGGTGGAGAGAAGGGCAATCCTTTCCAATATGGACATTTACGAGGTCTCTGGAGAGCTCAGCTCAGTATTACTAATGACCCTAGCATTTGTTAGTCCGGTGTCTCACCCAAACTCTCCATTCAACCCAAACTCCCCATTCAGCTGAGAACTGGTACCTGCCGGGTGGACAATCAAGGCCGTCACTGATAATTGTCCTTACTGACTGCCTGTACATGTACATGCATACAAACTGGCGGGATGACAGGGGATCGCGCAAGTTTTACGTGCAGTATTTTTAATTCTATTTTTGCTACAGTTCCTGAATTTCAAAGTTATTTTTTGTAAAATTTGTTTTCCCCTTCAAAACAGCCTAAAGAAGAATTGTTCTGAAAGACCAACGTACACAAGACTTATGGTAAGTATTGGTTGTGGACTTTGTAAAAATTGAAACGTGAATGAATGAATCAAAATTATTTTCTGGGCAATTCTGTGAAAATGTGGACTTGGGTGAAAAATGGAAAAGTTTATGAAATCTTTAAAAAAAATAGGCACAGTAGCCCCTAATATGGTATCAAATTAACAGTTTTAGGTATTCATTTTGGCACCTTGTTTTTACATGCCAAATGCGAGTGTTATTGTGAGTTTTTTTGTGTAAGAAAGAAAAATAGGTTCATAGTCCATGCCAAATAAGTATTTTTGATTGATTATGGAGTACTGAAGTGAATACGTCACACACACAAAATGTGTGTGAAAGACATTAGCGCGTGATTCAGCCCGTGAACCAACACGTGCGCATACTCCATTCGTTTGCACTACACTTTTGGTTCTAAATGACGTCACACTTCGGTACTCCATTAGTTTCTGAAATGCTTAAACTTGTACCAGAGATAGGGCAGACAAACTGTGACGTAAGTTACTGTAAGAAAGTTACCACCATCTTAGGGTATGTGACCAAAATCGGATGTAAGATTTCCTTTACTGCCCTACTAATAACTAGTTCAGTTACCAGCAATTCACTGGAAGTCTTTTCGTTCATCTGACACAGTTGATCTACACAGTTGACCAGATTTAGTCTATTCATTGGCATTACGGGGTAATCCTATACAATAGCACTGCCCAAGGCACAGTCGGTCAGTCAGTCAGTCAATGAGATAAGTACAGAAAGAACACTTGATTGGCCCTCTGGGACCAAGGTCCATGGGTAATTGGGAAGAATCGACAGCTCGTTAAAATTTGCAGTGGCAATCCTTTGATATTATTTTTTCCATGACCATAACACAGAGGCACACATACATCTCAACGCATAGCGGAGTCAACGATGGAGATGTAGCGACATTCGTCACGGGTGTGTTGGACACGGCGGCAACGAATTAAACACCACCTTCCACTAGAGAAATCCCCACAAAACCCCTTGAATAACTAGCAGGTTTTAAAAACTTAGGCTTCATTCCGGCCGTGGCATCTTCTCTGACTTAATACTTACTGAAGCCGCAGCCAGAGACAAACGGAGATTTCAAAAACACCCCACATCCTAAGTATGCAGAATACTCGAACAGTTACCGACGGCCATGATGTAAAACAGTATTTATGAACCTCATTTGCTTACAAGGTTGACATAGTATCATTTTTTTTATGAAATGGAACTCAAACAGTGTCTGAAAATCTTTTCGTTTTGGAGGAAATGTCAGAAATTTGCAAAAACGTTAATAGAATTTTTAGAATGCTGATGAATGGCACTCATGTTGTGAATTTCTGACTTGAAGAAGAGATGAATGAACAGATTTCAAATACTTCTGGGTTCACAGTGCGAAATGTTGCATTTGGATAGGGTTGGAATATTTGACAGCAGATCTTTCTTTTTTGTCTTCGTATTTTTAAAGTTTGTTCACTATTTCACAAACGTCCTGCAGCTTGGCTTGCAACTTTTTCTAGCGTTAAAGGGAACATACAACATTTGCTTTTGCTGTAATTTTCAGAAATGAAAGGATTTGGGGGTTAGTATTTTATAGCAAATATTGTTACGCTGACTTGTTTGAAGTTTTGTGTTCCTAGATGCTGGAAAAACCAAGAATAACAATCATGTTCCTATAGTCTGGTTCCCTGAACCCACTCAAGTTGAAACGGAGCAGTTTATAGATGTCGGGGAATTGTAAGGTCAGGGAACCAGTCTAGCTGGCTTGTACCTGTTCATAGGTGTGTAATCGATGGCATTAGTGCGGACCAACTAAATAATGTGACGGGCTTGTGACAGCATTTTGCCGACGTTTCAAGGCATTAACTAGTACCACACTTCTCTTGTGTAAGTCGATGTTCTTATTTTATTTTTTTCTCCCAGTTTCGTTTTTATGCTGCAGACATCACTGAACATTATGTATTAAAGTCATATTAGCTTGTATGTTACTATTGAGTTGTTTTTATTATGCCAAAAAAAAGTGTTGTTTTTTGGGGTAGTGTATGTAGTCTTGCACACGTTCAGCATATTTATCAGGTTCGCTCAAAATCGAGCGAGGGCGCTATTACCACAAAAGCTACTGTAGCATTAGGTTAATACCTCATGTACTTACAGCTTTGCCATCCAAATTTGAAGTCAAAAATCTGCTTCTTCATATGAATTTGGCTGTCTGATGTATATATCTCAGTACCTTAAACTGTTTTGACATTTCCAATGAAGTAGACTTTTTGTTTTCTCTCTCAAAATTGCTACATGTTTGAAAATCTATTAGATGTGTATAAATTTAGTTGTACAAAAAAGAAACAAAAGAATGAGCTAGTATTTTCATACAAATTAACAAAGAGGCACTACAAAGGAGGTAAAACACATGTATTTATTTAGTTTTGAGTGTAAATGTGTAGCCGTGAGAATACTTTAAAAACAAAACAAAACAAAAAAAACAGGTAGTCTCGGTCGAGGCGTTTATTGACAGTGTTCGTGATGGTATCGGGCCGGTAACAGAAACATTAGCTGTAGGCTATGCATTGTACGAAGCGTGAACAACAGTGACTTCACGCAGCTACATGTACATTATGCAAATCAGTTGGTGAAGGACGACGGATCGCGTAAGGTTACTGCTATTTTTAACGACAGTTGAAGATGAGATATTGAGCATGATGTTGCATTGGACAACATTTAGGGTCAAATTTTGTAGCTGTTGATTGGATGGTCTGTACATTAGCCCCGCCCACGGCCAAGTACTGAATAATAATTTTATCTGTATTCGCATAAGAGGTCGTCGCTGGAAATACAGCGACAAAATGGAGAAAAAGATAAGCCAACGCAATCCATTGTCCCAAGATGTTCGTCCTTCACCAACTGATTTGCCTACTGTTGCCGCTCGAGATCGCTGTTCGCGCTTTATACAGTCCATTGCGCGCAGCTAGTGTTTGTGTTAGCGGCCAGATACCAACACGGACACTATCAAGGAACAACTTGACCAAGGCTAAAAAAAAGTTCGGTTTTTAATATCCCGGAAATTTGGTAATGGTTCCTTCGTCGAGAAAATGTCTTTCCTTGGCCAGTTATTTGGAGAAAGGGCATGAAGCCACATCATTTTCAGATCAACTAAAAATGGAAGTAGAATATTGTAAAAAAAAAAAAAAAAATCATAAATTGATTTGGCAGTCCACTGTCAAGTCAGCTTGTAGCCATCTTGGTCTTGTACCCTAACGATATGTATAAAGAATGGGTGCTACACATTGTGGCACCAGTCTGTTTATGACGTGAGCCTTATTTTGAGCAGAAAATGGTGACCCAGACTGGTGATGTACATGTATGTATGTTGTTTTAGGTGTTGTGATACACAGATTATATTGAGGTCATCTGCAGTTTTAATCGTATAACAATCATGTGAATTAAACCTGTACCCAGGCTATTTTTAAGCGTATTTATTTTTAGTGGTCCGGCGAAATGTAGCAGTTTTCCAAAACAGTCTGTTGAAGTGAAAAAAGGTCCTACTTTTATGTCCACGTTTTGTTAGTGCTACACTTACCTATGCAGTAAATGCAAGCCATCAATTTGGTGGCTGAAACGCACCGAACATTCTTTTGAAACCCCAACTTGCAGTACAGTGGAACGCCGCTATAATGAACATCGCGGGATCCACATGTGATTTGTGATAGTGATCATTCGGTATAGCAATTTTAGCTGCCGGTGCTCCGGTACTCACTTTTCAATAAAATAACTTCACCCTGCATGCCCTGGTAGTTACTGAAAGACGACTTTGAACACATGCCGACTATTGAATCATGTAATTACAGTTATTGAGATTACTACCTACGGCAGGCATGGCAATGGGTGGCTTTCCCCTTCTATTCCTTGGGGAAATAATAGCCACTTGTCGCTCTTCTGTTGACATTTTCCAACAATGTTCAGTTGGTTTTGTACACAAAGTTAAGGACGATGTTCGGTATAGCTGAATGTTCGGTATAGCGTGTTCGGTATAGCGACGTTTCACTATTGTTTCTGAGCTCAACAGGGGACTATTTGTACAGTCTTTGCCAGTTTTTGGCAGTACTCCAAAATTAAAACCTGCTCAAGTTTTATATACACAGTGCAGTGAATGAATACAATTGTTCAAAATTGTAGAGAGAATTTAAACTCCTGTAGTATTGATGGTAGCAGGAACAACTTTTGAAAGGATATACAAACGTGAATACATTTTTGTTCGTGTTCCCTAGACTCCAACCTAAGACCACAATGCAACAGCCAAAATGGCCGCAGCCATAATAGAATTTCCCATGAGCTTATGGAGTCCTTTCCGGACCAGCGTATGTTAATGTATCATTAAGGTATCTCACCAAATTTTACTTAGTATGGAGCGAGTGAACGTGCGAGTATGAGTTACGAATGAAATTGTACAAAGATTTTCTATCGAGTGAGACAAAAACTAAAGAATAAAATAAAGGAGTAAATTTAAATGACAACTTTTTACTAGTTCTTATTTGAAGTAGTGATTACATGAAGATCACATAAATTGAAGTGTCTGTCTGGCGTGCAGCAGTATGCGGGTTTGAAGCCTGACAGGGATCAGGATGTTGGTGTTCTTGGGCAAGACACTTTACCTCAATTCCCTCTACCAACACAGAAGTACACCTCGTAAATCGCTCATGTTTTCCACAACCAGTTCAATTTTTATTCCCATACAAGGCAAGCGCATAAATTTACATTTCAAAGTTAAAATTCAGTGAAAAAAAAAAGGACTATTAAACAATGCATGTTATGCTGGATTGGCGCCCTCTGTTGGCCAGAAATTGAAAACCACTATTAAAAATGAAAGGCTGCGTACGAATCGCTTGGCTATGGCCAGCTGCATGACGTGTAAATGGCAAGTGGCTTAAGCTGCTTCCATAGGCCATATGAAACTGGAAGTCGTAGCCGTAAAAAGTTGGACGCAGTCTGAAATTGTATCCATCTGTTACACAGAATAATTACAATTTTTAAGCATTGTATTCTGCCAAGGCATACATGTTAATGACGCATCTCAGATTACAGAAATGTACAGCTTATGACGTTTCATCAACTCAGCTATTATTACAATACTTTGCACCATTGTGTTCCTATAGCAATACTTTAAATATAAAAAAAAACCAATTAGAATCCAAAATAATTTTTTTTTAAAACTTACATAGGCTTGCTTCAAAGATCCGAAGTTGTTAACTTCTAACCTTTTACTAAAATCTCAAAATTTCTCAAATTCTGAGACGGCTCTAATTGCTTAGGCTTGTCTCCTCAAGTGGTGAAAGACCGTTTCATAAGACACAATTATTCAATTGTAAAACTTCAACAGAACTGGGTTAGACTTCTACAAAGCGTTACAAAGATAGCCCGTATAAGACTAGCCCATTGCACACATGGGTGATGCAAGCGCCTACCTAAGGCCATTTTCTCCATGTTCCAACTGATGTAATGTTTTAAGCATAGCTGCCTGGAGTAATCCATGTTGGGGCGGCTTGAATGAAGGCTAAACCATGTGCAGTGCATGCATATTAGACTTTTGTCAGACATTTTGGTTGCACAGTCGCCGGCTGTGATTGGTCAAAGGCGTAGGGGGCGGGGCTTAATGGGTCGGTCTATTATTCAAACACAGGGGTGACAGAAAGATGTCTCCAATGTGGGTGAAATAAAAATCTTTCTAACTTTCCACTTTTTTAAAATACATTCTTTAGCCATACATCATTGTGTGTAGTACAGGCCCAGGATAATTCAAAAAAATGCTGCGTATTTGTCAAACAGTAAAAAGGATTCAACAAAATGTTATAAGCAACCAAAAAAAACTATGATCAAATGAAAGACAATGGATTATAGGGCCTTCAAAAATTATCAACGTTTTTAGGTACATGAGGCAGGGAAGTCACAGAGAACTTCAAAAGTTCAACAATTTTTTTGTGTGGAAATTTCAAAGTTGTAAAGACAGTAGGTATGTTAGGATGGCGGTCATAATATATTTTATCAATGTACCTTCAAAATGATAAGTTTTTGGATAGCCCTTAAACTCTATTAGTATTTGACATCGGAATGTGCAAATTACGTTATTAAAATACACTTAATAAATAAAAATGTAATGTGTGAGATGAACAATGCTAAAATTACAGACTTGGATGTTTTAATAACGAGTTAAACATTTTTACTCTTAAATGTACAAAAACAAAGCTTTGAATTCGCTATCTGTACATAATTCATCATAAAATGTTATTCAAAAGTTTTGAAAATTGTGAAACTGAGCAAAAACAAGATGTAAAAGGTTTCTCTTGGTGCACCAATGAAAATTCTGTTTCCAATTAGTTTGACTAAGTAGTCAAACAGGAACTCAAATTCCCAATATCATTTCAAGGCCAAATGAAAATCTCCTTGAAATTTGTTAAAGGAATTGTCAAAATTTCAACAAATTTGAATCGTCGCTATGTGTAACGATTGCAGAAGAAGTCACAGATGTAGTAACTAATGGAAAAAAGTTAATAATAAACATGTTGTTTTAAACTTAAATTATATACACCTTTTGTTATATTTTAAGCTTTAAACAGAAATACTTTCTCTACCCCTTCCGAGAAATTTCATTTGCAACACAGACATTTTGTTTTAAACCAAAGCTTCCCTGCAGCGCAGCTTCTATGTACATGTAACAGTTTAAATTCATCAAATGTTTAAGAAATGTACCAGCAGCAGTGCAGGTTTTTTAACCTTTGAACTGGTCACGTAAAAGGAACAAATTTGCTACCATTTTAACTTAAAACCTTCATCTTGTAATCATCTGTGTGTAATTAACACAAAACAAAACAGTGGAAGCATTATTGTCTACTGTGACGCTTGTGAACAAAAAATAAATGCATTTTGTCTATATATATATATATAGTACCATATCACACACACATTGGCAAAATCTCTGGAGGAACCGAAGCACAACAAACAACCTGCACATGGCAACAAGTGTTAACTTTGAACCAGAATCATGCTAGTAAAACTTGTTTTAATTAGCAATAGAGCACTACAGAATAAATTAACTTTGCACTACAACTGATGTGACCCAATTTCTCAACAAAAAAAGAAAAATCACAAATGGTGGTTCTTTTTTGGGGCAAATATGGGGCAAGTTCGATCAAGGACCATAGTTAACCATAGTTCGACCAACTCTGATCGAACGCACGCTGGACGACGATGGTTTGACTAGTCTTGTCGACGACTCGGGACCAGCCTACCGTGGCTGGTTTGCGCCATGATTTATACCTGGTTATCAATAGCCATTCATCATGGCAGAGGGGACCAACCATCCACAAAAAAGGCAGAAAAACGAAAACTGTGAGTGCTAAATTTCATTTTCATTGCATTTTTTTGTGTACATGTATGTTAATTTATGATTCCGTCACTTTTGTCACCATTGTACAAAAATTAAAAAAAAAAGAACTAACACAAGCTCCTAGTTTAATAACGAATATCAAACACTACCCAAAAAGGGAAGGAGCAATGGCAAATATTACACCATGATCTATGAAATAAAAGACAATTATTCAATTGCTATTAATATTACCCTTACTACCTCCGTGGAACAATTAACTATTGTACTAATAATTTCAGCAACTGTTGCACTTGATTTTTTTGTCGCTTTGTTTTTTTTCATTGCATTTACGTGTGGTATATCCAATACTATATAACAATTACATACATTATTTACAATACCATATTTTTGATATGATAAAACCTACGTCCCATCAGCTACAAGTGAAACGTATTGTGGGTTTTTCTTAAAATACAGAGTTAAGCATTTTTTTGGTTATAAATACCAACTTATTATGTTACGGTGCACTAAGTGGAAGCGTCATTAACAAATTGTGTTCTAAATATGCAGAGCGTGTTAAAACATGTTAAACTTGTGTCAGTAAATTGTAATATTTTTTTACTTAACAATATGTAAACTAGTGCTGATTTTACAAATTAAAATAAAAACTAAACAAATTTCAGTTAATTTATGCAAATACGAAATAGATTACTGTGCGCCTTTGCTTATCAAGGCACTCGTTACAAAGACAGTTGGAATTTAACTGTTATATTAGAAACAGTTTGGACAGGGGCTATAAGAGTATGTTGGTGAATTTGCTCGCACCTGCCATCCTAAACAAAGACCAAATGCATAGGATTGTGGGCAGGGTGACAAGAACTGACATATATATTTGAAGCTAACTCTTTTAATACAACGCCTGAATAAATCCCAGTCATCTGATTGGCGGGTCATTGATCACATGTCATTGAATTATTCGTCCCAACCCACTGCCCGGCGACACCGCAAAAATAGAAGTTCTATTCCACAATCTGATGACGAGGATTTATTCAGGTGTTGTATAAAACAAATAATGAATGTTTCCCATTCGTGCAACGGAAAGAATAATTTCATTCGGTGACAGATGGCATGTTCCATTCCACGAGTCGAAGCCAAGTGGAATGGAACATTCCATCTGTCGCCTCATGAAATTATTCTTACCATTGCACTCCTAAACATTCATTATTTGTGTACTATTCATTGGGACTTAGCCGATTGAACATTCAAACACTGCCAAGAAAAACAAAATGGGAAAATACAGAAATAGTTTAATTCATTTTGCTCCTAACTAGCAAAATTGTTGAAAGTGGCAATTCATTTCGCCTTTTTTTATCATAAACTCCTTGCAATGCACAGGCACTTGTGTATCTGTTAAATACACAGAGCAACATACAAAAAAACTTAGCAGATTGGAAAATAGTTGGATAATTACATCAGAAAAATATTTTTCCAGATTCGTGTTTTTAAAAGACATTTACAGCCAGGTGTAAAAAAGTAGAATTCTTTCCTTGAAAATTCCTACTCTATTCAAGTGACGAACTTGTTCACCGTGAATTTTATATAAAATGGATAAAACTGTTTTCAAGATACAATAAAATGACTTTAAAACGTGTCACAGACAAAGTAAGGACTTTTTACAGCCATGTTTTAAGGTCAGTTTTTAAAAAGTGATGTTATACAAAAAAGTATCTCAAAATCTGAATTCACTTTACAATCATTCACTTTCTGATGCAAGGCAAGAATCATGCACTTTTGACCGAAGAGGATCAAAAAATGAGGAAAATCAACAGGACCCAGTTTCATGGCGTTGCTCAGATTTTCTGCTAACAGAGCCTCCGTCTATTTCAGAAAAGTTGCTTAGATGTAAATCAGTTACGTAACAATAGACATCTCCATGCGTGAGCAACTGTTACCACATCCACGCCGTGAAATAGTGCTTGGTGTTAGCACAATTTTTTGCTAAAGTAAGCACTACTTTTCTGCTAAGTGTTAAGCTGCGCCAAGAATTGGGCCCAGGTTTTCAGGGGTAGGGGGATAGGAGTTCCCATTTTTTCTTATTTTAAGGAATCCAGTGATGGTAGTTTTTCGTTATCAGGAAACAGCATTCCACTATAGTGTATTGATTGAGGCTTTATACATGCTCTACCTCGGTACATATTGTGTACTGCGACATTTAGGCAAGACAAAACTCACTGCTACGGGGCTGTTTCGGTGTGAGAAGCACTGATGCCTGGTGGATAACAAGGAGTCCAAGTAAAGTTTCTTGTCTTTACAGGGAAAAAATTGTTGACTTTGGGAGTGCAAAAGTCTCTTGGCGTACAATGTTGAGTGCATTTCCAACAAGATCGCCCAAGCTCAGTCGAGCCTGTTGCCGATGTTGAGGGTTGTCCTAGTTACGCCGTTGATGGTCGCGGCTCATTGCGAGAGTATACTGAAAAATAGTTATACAAAATTAGAAACAAATTTTAGCAAATGGTATCACTAGCAGTACATTATATACGTGTTGGGTAATGAAACAATGTTAACATGTACCGGTACCTGCACAACATGTGATGAAAATGTAAGCATCATGTGATCTTCACATGAACATGTGCCAGTGCCGCCGATGGACGGCACTGACACAACATGTGGAGAGCATGTGAACACCAAATACATTAGATGTATGTGTGAGTATCAGGTGAACATCTCCCGAAGATCATGTGGACATCATGTGAATGGCATGTGGACATCATGTGAACATCGCGTGAATGGCATGTGGACAGCACACGTGAATGGCATGTGGACATCATGTGGATGGCATGTGGACATCATGTGAATGGCATATCGACATTGTGTGAATGGCATGTACACATCATGTGAACATCATGTGAACGACATGTGGACATCATGTGAACATCATGTGAACGACATGTGGACAGCATGTGAACATCATGTGAACATCATGTGAATGACATGTGGACAGCATGTGGACATCATGTGAACATCATGTGAATGACATGTGGACAGCATGTAAACAGCATGTGAATGACATATTAATACATGTGAACATCATCAACTGGACAAATGCGTGTACATGTACTTACAGATGGGGGAGGGGAGTCGAAGCGATCGCGGCCGACGGGGGGTTGGTTGGATGAGGATGAGTGTGCCGCTCCTGCTGCCGTGGGTGCACCCCAGCCACTAGGCCCCGGCTCATAGCTAACCACACAAGACAAAGAGAATCACAGAGAAAGACAACAAATGAAGATGGTGATGTGGTGAAACCTACTAAGATATGAATGAACATGGCAGAACGAGCTGGGAACTAGACTTTTTAAACATGTCCTGAAAAATGAGGCAAACGTTGCATGTGAACATGAGCACCTACGATGCAGTTTAATAGAAAATGTGAGGCGTTCTGGCAAAATGAGACAGAACTGGGCAGAGGTGAAAATTAGGCTTTGCAGGTATTAGGAAAGAGAATACAATTCTCCTTACAGTACTGTTTGTTGTACTTCAATCAGACATTCCGTTGACAAGTTATGGCTGTTTAAAGCTCGCATTTATTTTATGTCAAAAAAGTTAAATACTGAGAAAAAGGCTTTTAAAGTTTCGAGTTTTGTATTTGTGAAAATGAAAGATGCCAATTGTTTTTCCTTAAAAAAACACACTTTCATTTGATGACTTTTATACTGTTTCTTTAAACTATGTGTAGTAGTCGTATCAAAGATTACAACTATGAATAAATCTGAAAATTAAAAAAGATATCACCCATTAGTTTTTTTTTTTTTTGCATTTTTCTCCACTATGGCCTTTGCCCAGTTCAATCTCATTTTGCCAGAATGTCTCAAAGATGGTTCCATTGTTAAATAAATTTTATAAAAAAGAACTTTTTATCCTGTCTGTGCTTTGACTTCAAGATCTGTCTCAGAATGATCCACACACTTGAGATATATCAACTTACAATTGAATATTTGAAGTTGATATGAAGTCATGGCTTCACTGCACAGTAACATCTCTTTGTGAGAACCCCAAAAATATTTTTAAAATTGTCAAACCCTGCCAAAACTTTTATGACTAAAAGCCGAGTGCACAGCATGAATATGGAAGCTTGGGCGATTGAATGTAATGAAAGAGACTTTCATGATTTATTTTCTTTCACTTTCAAATCTGTTTCTTTCCAAACTTGTGTTTATAATTCATGTGACTTGATGCAAAATCCTCTTTTCTGCAAACCACATAATCTATCACGGCAACCGCGAGATACAAACATTTCAAGCAAGAAAACTTCGAAAATACTTGACTTTTTTCATTCTGTTTTGCATTTTTATCTCTCCAAAACAACTAACCATGCTTTTAAAAATCAAAAGATCAAAGTAAAAGTTGATTTAAAAAAACCCTCCCAATCCACAAATTATTTTTAAATAAAAACAGTAGTGAACATTAACAATTTGCCCGTTTGCCTTTCAGACAACACTCTAACATAAAAATATTAACTCGAACGTGCATGTACATTAAAGCGTGCAGCATGAAGCTGTGAAGGGCACTATTTTGCCATGCGGCGTATGGATACACCCTGCAGGTGAGTGTATCAGTGAGCAAATCAAACACAGCTTGTTTTGCAGCACGGAAGTTATTCTAACATAGGGTGCGTTCGATTAGCTCAACGGGGTCGCCTCGGGTAAAGGCAGATGGTTTAGCCATGAGAGCCGTGCTAATCGAGCGCTCAAATGCGGGCCATCATGATCCTAACGTGATGTCTGTAGCCATTGGCCATTGACACAACGCCAATTTCTGACTGAGTCTTACTTTGTGATGTACTGATTTTTTGTCAAACGCAAAAAGTAAGAACGCCGGGCTTAAATTATAGCCTCTAAGAAGTAAGATCGATAAATAGTCATGTTTAGACTTCAAATAAAGTTGATTTTTGGGGTTCACTTGATCTTTTCCGCTGTCTGGCTGCCGTATTTGTCTGTTTCTTGGAATGAACGACGCATGCATGTGACGTATTTCCACCACTGAGCTCTGCTCCGAGAACAGGGTCTGTGGTGGCTCACCCGTGTGAGCCCAGAGAATGATGTCAGAGCTAATCAAATGGCACGGGGCTAACCCCAGTCGACCTGGGTGAGCTAATCGAACGCACCTATAATGTAGCTACGTTGTTTTTAATATCTGTTACTAGAACAAATGGAAATGATCTAAATTTTAGGGCAGATATTATAGAATTTGATAACGCTTGTACTCTAGTGTCATCTTACTGGATTGCACAAAAGGGTTTGAGTTAGTTCAATGAAATTTTTGAGGGTTTTTTTTGGGGGGGGTGTTGTATGCAGTTCGAGCTGGCACTTTTCTCTTAAAAGACAAGTGTAAAAGAGGCAAGTTGAAAGGAAAGCGTATAAAAAATATTCAGAAATTGTTAATATAGAATGGAAAATTAGGTTCAGCCACAAAGCTAGCGTTGGAAAGAAAACAGCGGCGTTTTCAAAACTCAAAACTACTACAATTTCTCTGTGTAGCGTCTAAAAATCTAAGCAGATGTGCATTAGTTAAAGCGTTTAGTCAGGTGCCATGTGCATTAGAGAGCAGCAAGTCAAATGGCCAGCATATATACGGCCCAAGGGCAGTGGGTTCGGGAGACCCGACTTACCCTTCCCGCTGGAGGTAATTGAATAGGTTCGGCCCGTCGTTGGGTTTGGGAGAGTGCGGTCTGAAAAGTTGCAAATTTCGAAGCAGGATTTGCATGATTTTTGTTGTTGAGAATTTTGAAATGAATTTGATATCCTAGAAACAAAGATATTGTTTATTTTATCAGCCTATGGGATTAGTATTTGTCAAGTTATGTTTCATTTAGTGGAATGGTCAGAAAAAAGAGGGTTTTTGACATTGTCAGTCAGTTAGTTTGGATGGTCCCAACTTAACCGATGGTAGAGTAGATTTGAAAACAAATTCAAGAACTTCTCTTTGTTAAAGGTAGGGTAGATCATTTGTCATTTGTGCATTTTTTCTTTACGTTTGAAGCAACAAAAGTGCTCAAAATCTAAGGATGGGTGCTTAGCAACTAGCCTGATGAAGTTTTAGCTCAGTGAATGCTGTATATTCCGAGAAAACAATATTCTGGGATCTAGGTTTCAATTCAAAAAGTTGCCGAGTCATGTTTTGAAGTGGACCCAAAATCAGCATCCGGGACACGTTCTCAATCAGCCGATTGCAGCTACGCGATGTCACGCACTGAACTGATGAATAATAGCAACCACGCGCGTGTGAGCATCGTGTCAATGCTTGCGCGCACCCATTCATGGAGTCGGCGCATCTTTGGAAATGGCCTTCGTATAGTGTTTTCCTCAAAATGACAGCATGCCAGAAAGAATAATTTCACAGGGAGTTTAGCACCAATACTATCGTTAAACCAAATAAGCTTTTCCACAAAAATTTCACCTTTAACTATTTGCATAGCTGCAAATGATCTACTCTACCTTTAAAGGAAGTGTTGTTCACCGAAGAAGCAATTTTAGTTTTTAACTGTTTTAGTTACATATTTATTTGTTTTCTGTTTTGTTTTTGGTTGAAGTCGAGGTCCTTGTGAGGAATCGCAAGTCCATCACAAGTTCATCACAAGTCCATCACAAGTCTATCACAAGTCTATCACAAGTCCATCACAAGTCCATCACAAGTCATGCAATCTCATGTCAACTCACACGCTATTCAATTGAACTGTAGCAAAGGAGTCGTTTTGTTATTGTTTATCCAGCAATTGACCTATCGCGTTAGAATCGCGTTAGAATCGCGTCAACGCAGCTTGTGAAATATTGTCCAATTACATGATATAGCCCCACAAACGGACGCGGAACGCACAAAATATGAGACAAACAAAACTTAACGTACAAACATTCCATAGGGCTGTCTAAGGGGCGTGGCTTACTCGCAAACGGCAATAGGTCAATTGTGCAATCACAGGCACCTCTTTAATTTGGGTCAAGTTAAAGTCAAGATATTTATTTTAATCATTCCAGAACAACTTCAGCAACCTAACGCAGACTTCTTTTAATTCTAAAGTAATGACACTTTTTTTTTGGGGGGGGAAATTTTCAATTTTGAACTGTATCTTTCTGTAGAAAATGCAATTTTCGTATGCATTTTACAATTGATGCCATGCGAATCAACGCATTTTTTGTGCATTCACGCTGCGTGCCGGTGATTGCCATCTTTATTTTCGTTTTGCATTTTGTGCGTTCTGTTGTTTTGTCCCAAAATTTTTATCCAAAAAAAAATCAAAACCATGCCATCTCTCCAAGACACTCCTGTTAGTTTTAAATGTCTCTAACTAGTTTTGTAAGTCCAATAACTTAAAAGTGGATTTTCGTTCTGTTACAGGATCAGGGCCCGTAACTACACAATTGCCATTCATCCGCTGTTGACTTGTGACTGGACTTGTGATTTACTTGTGACACGTATCTCAAGTGCAACGCTGGGAAGGGTAAGATTCAAGCAATTTCGCTGGTTAATAATCCTCCCCAAGAATTGCCCAAGATGAAGAAGCAGCTGTTATATAATTACAAATCAGGGGAAAAAAATTCACAAGAGCCCAGTACCTGTAGCCATGGACTGAGCCGACCAGGGAAGTGGGCCTGGCCCGGGGGTCGGACGGCAGGGTCACCGGTGGGTTGTCTTGCCTTCTCGGTGGCGGTTCAACGTTCCTCCGGTAGCGCTCCAGGGTGGCTGTGTTGTCATTCGGAGGCAAGAAGGGATCTTCTTGGTCTACCGCGTACGGCAATTTCCTGCAAAAGCAACACAAATATAATGTTATACAGGGTGAGTCAAAAAAGTGGAACCCAAACCCAAAGACATATATTTTAAAAAAAATATGTAGCACCATACGACTGGTAAGCCAATTTATTAAACTACTTTGAAAAATTATTTCAATTGCTCAATCTGTTCAACTATTATCACCATTTAAACGAAATGACCCTAAAATCTGTTTCGTCCAAAAATGCAATTTCAAGAATTGTCTTTACAATTGTCTTCAAACATCACCTGCGATAAAACCTCGGCTTAAAAGTTAAATATATTCAACAAAGTCCTTTTGTAGGCCCGTCTTTCAATAAAAAAGTGGATTTTATAAATCCTATTGTTAGCCAAAGCAGGGTTGTTAATATAGATATTGTGTTCTACAGTTGTTGAAAACAGTATTCTGTGTCATTTTCCTTTTTGTTCCAAACAGTCAGAATACTTTTGAATGAAACTGGTTTTGGGGTTACTTTGTTTAAATAGTGATAAACTTTTAACGTGTATAGCAATTGAAATAATTTTCTCACTTAAGGCCAAAAAAAAAAAAATATTTGGTCTCTGGTCAGACCAAAGTTCCGGAATTGACGCGGGGACGCGGCTTTTTTTTTTTTCTTCAAGCTTGGATTGTACAGACAAGGTGGGGTACTATTTTGCTTTTTTGGTGTCCTCATGTACATTGGTGTCCTCCATAATTTGCCTTGGTGCTCTCGATCATTCGCCTTGGTGCAATTTCCCATTCCTTGGTGCTCTTTGGTAAAAAAAAAAAAAATTGAGGAGGTTTGGCAATAGAGGGCGATGTTGGAGCTACCGCGGAACATTTTGGAAAAAAAAAGATTGACGCGCATGATTAAAATCGACGCGCGCGCTGACCAGAGACCGACTTATTTTTTTGGCCTAAAAGTGATTTAATAAATGGGCTTCCAAGTCATATTTAATTTTGGTGCTACATAGTTTTTTACATATAAACTATATTTCTTTGTTTTGGGGTTAAGCTTTTTTTGACTCTGTACTTTCGGTAGCCATTTTGATTTATTTCTTGATTTCTAATTTTGCATCGTACCTTGATATTGTAGTAAAAATCCGGGGCCCCGTACGTAAATGGTATAGTCTAAACATGGTTTCCCCTCTGAGAAGGATATGGACTAGTCCAGCCAGTCAACACCCTTTTATTACATCTTTTTATTGTGATTTAGCCTACACCCAGATACCCATTAACTTTAATCTCTAGTATATTTCAGTAATGCTGAATTTGCTTAATCCCCTTTGTCCAACTTCAGGCTCTTGGGCCTAGCCCAGTTAAAACTGTAGTCGCCTGGAATTTAGGGCTGAGCCCAGCTCAGTGACAGCACATCCATATTGTGGAGGGCGTGGCTTTTGGCATCCCTAGGTTTGGAGAATGTACACGCACATTGTAACATTTTGCGCTGTTGACCAATATTGAATGACGGGCAACAACCGTCGATGCACGTTGGCAAAGTGGACGCACGCTCGGAAAGCACGAGAATCATGACCCATGACCTCAAACGGATTACGGGAATATGGACGCCGTTGTGTTTCATTGTGGCCGAAAGCTGTCCCGATTCTGCCCGAATTTACAGGATAACTTGACCTATGAAGGTACGGAATTCAACTGTTTTTTTGCGGAAAAATGTTGCAACCTGACGCCACTTCAGCGGTTGTGTACAAAGTCTACGGGGAGTCAAGAACATTTTCTAAGTATTTCCTAACAAAATTGGAAATGTTTCTCAGTCCCAGATTCATGTCTTATTATTTTTGCAATGACTGACCTTCATTGAGATGATATATATAAAGAAAAAAGTGGCGTCAGGTTGCAACATTGTTTCCAACATTGTTTCCATTTTTGCTAATAGGCAGTTGAGTAACCACCTGGGTGATTATATCAAGTGACAAAATAATTTCAATCTTTATTGTATTTTCTGCTACACTAGCAACCGACCTTTCCACACATGTAGTGTGCCATCGTTGTGTGGCTTACTAGTCCAGAGGAAGTCCAGTACTTAACCCTAACCCCCTAGGCCCTTGTTGCTTACAACCATCCTCAATCCTCCAAAATCCTCCAAAATTTTGCAACTCCGCCTAAATTTTTCAAAATTGTCAGACAGTCCTGCCTCAAAATGCATTCATCCTCAATCCTCCAAAAGCCTCCTCATCCCAAAACTTTGCACTCGTGTTTAAATGAAGGATAACCAACGCCAAATCCTTCAAAATCATCAGACAGTCCTGCCTCAAAATGCATTCATCCTCAATCCTCCAAAATCCTCTTGTGCTTCATTCACCATTCATCCTCAATCCTCCAAAATCCTCATGTGCTTCAATCACCATTCATCCTCAATCCTCCAGAATCCTCCAAAACCGCCAGGAGGATTTTGGAGGAGTGAGGTGGGTTAGGGTTAAGCCACATTAATGGGGCTATAGGAAATGTAGTTATTTCTTTTGTTAATTTACTAAATAAAATTCCATTCTTTACTGCTTTTGGAAATTCGAGACTGCGACCTTGTTTTCTGTCTTGTGGCCCGTCTACGCTTGATTGCAGGTCAACTCGCCCCCTGGCCGACTCGCCTCTTACCGACTCGCCCCTTACCGACTCGCCCCCTGACCGACTCGACCCTTACAAGCTTGCCCCCTGGCCGACTCGCCCTCTAGCCAACTCGCCCTCTCGCCAACTCGCCTCCTCGCCGACTCGCCTCCTGACCGACTCGCCCCCTGACCGACTCGCCCCCTTGAAAATTATGCACCGTACGGGGACATTGTGAAATAAAAATAAAGACAGTGGAGCACATTGCCCGGTCGGAGCCAAATTACTCAAACGCAAGTTTGAAGGATTTCCCATACCAATGCAAAAAACTATTGATCCTTGCTTTATAAAGAATTTGGGTTGGAAACACCTTAGCACAACTTTACCGATATAGCGCAGCGTGATTTTTTGCGGAGTGCCCGTGGCATAGGGCCCGTTGGGCATGTGCGCGTAGTAGCGTTCACGGTGACTGCCGGCGGGCACGGCAGGTACCGGTGGGTGCCGGCGCGCGACAGGTATACCCGCGTTCACCGTTTGTCAATGACACAATGATAATGTAATAATTGTAAATCTCGACTCTGGGTCCTCAGTTTCATTAACAAATATTTTTCAGAATAAATGATGTATATTTGAAAAATCAAAAAAAATTTTTTCATTTTTTTGGTTTAGTGGTGTTCTTATCAAACATACCGAACGGTTTTGAAAAAGTTATAAAACTAGGCTCAGAACCAAATTTTGAATTGGGCAATTGTAATAGTACAATCCCAAAACTCAGATAACGAATCTGATTTGCTGGACCCTCTGTGTTCCCCTCCACTGTCTTTATTTTTTTTTTTACGATGTCCCCGTACGGTGCATCATTTTCCAGGGGGCGAGTCGGTCAGGGGGCGAGTCGGCTAGGGGGCGAGTCGGCCAGGGGGCGAGTCGGTCAAGGGGCGAGTCAGTAAGGGGCGAGTCGGCCAGGGGGCGAGTTGACCTGACACCCTACCCTTCAATAGGTTCTTTAGTTCTGTGCGTGACTAGTTCCCGATTTTCACTGTAGTCTTTGTGTTCAGTGACTTATCAATGTTTCATTAAGCAAATTTGAATCTTAAATCCTGATTGGTCAATCCACGGCAACAACAGTGCGGTATTATCCCATATTGCATGGTCCATATTGCACTTTGTGAATTATAGCGTTTTCTATTTAGATACCCATGCTATTCCTGCTGCAACCCATAAAAATTTACCACAGCAATAATTAGTAATCGTCAAATTTGAACAGCGCCCCCTATTGAAATATGGTCCCCCCCCCCCCAGTTTTTTATTTTACGGAGGCCAAGTGTACGGAGAAAAAAACCTGTGTACATTTTCAGATTTTTTGGCTGATGACCCCCCCCCCCCCCTGCGAAAATTCCTGGATCCGCCCCTGCGAGTCGAAAAATTTCCCGGTATATGTCTGTGGCAAAAGCAGAGCTTCTTCCAGTCAAAGTGAATGATTCTACCCGCAATTTGTCCGGAACTCGTCTCGTATATGAAATGAGATGGGCCCTAATCGCAAAAGTTTGTTAAATTTTGTTATACGGACACCGTAGCAAGGTATTTAAACAGGAGACGGGATACCAACCTTTTGGGCAATCTGCCAATGAGTTTGATGGCTCCAAAGATCGTGAAGGTGTACAGGAGACCAGTTAACACGAAGCTGAGTAACATGACAGTCAAGCCGACCCTGGAAAAGAAAGGAAGCAAATGAAAATGAACTTTAAGCCGCGTCCAAATTACTTGGCTGTGGCTTGCAAATATACATGCGTCTATGGAAGCAATTAAAGACACTTCCCATATACAGGGTGAGTGAAAAAAAAACGTATCCCAAATGGCAGGACCAATTTTTGAATGAAGTTTTGCCTGTAACACTTTCAAAATCTAAGATATATGAAAACCCAGTTATTAAGCTTTCTTTCAGTACAAGAATCATTCAGATCACTCATGCACTTTGCAAGTTACGAAATTTAGTGTTCTTTCAGCAAAACGAAAACAATTCTCATAGGGATGCATGAGAATTGTTTTCGTTTTGCTGAAAGAACACGTACCTTTTTTTGTGATCTGTGGACAGAACTTTAAAACAATGTTTGTGTTAAAAATGCCGTAACTTGAAAAGTACATGATTTGAATGATTCTTGTAATAAAAGAATGCTCAGTGATTGGGATTTCTTATCATAGATTTTGAAAGTGCTACAGGCAAAACTTCATTCAAAAATTGGTCCTGCCATTTGGGATGCATTTTTTTTATTCACCCTGCATTCATTCTGCTAAATACTGGTACTATTACCTAAATAATGCTTGAACCTTTGGGAACAATTTCATTGTCATGACATTTAGTCCAAAATTTAAAAACGGTGGCGACCCAAAAATCGGCCGAGTGTTCCCTAACGTGGCGCACTGGAACAAATCTCGGAAAAATCCAAGGTTAACATTTAATAAGGCTAATAAATGACTTACACCGAATCGTAGCAGACAGCGTACAGCGATGTCACATAGTCTTTATGCAGCCCTGATGATGTGCAGTCCAGATTGCCTGCTAGCGTCAAGACTGAGCTGGTAACAGAGTCTAGTGTGGTCTTAGCTTCTGCAATCTTAGGCTGAAAAAAAATACAAGATTTTAGTTGCAGAAGTGGAAGGATTTCTGAAGTAACTGATAAAAAGAATAGGTTTCCCACAAAAATCTCGAAATGAAATTCCTTGACTTTTTCCATTACTTTTCCCATGACTTTTCCAGGACAAAATTAGGGCTTTCCCTGACCACGCCGTTTTGGCATCTTAGGAACCTGTTGCTCTGTAAGCAAGGGACGCCACTCCCTTTCAGCCTTCCAGTGTGGAAAAAGACCGCTGAGCACCACATAAGCATCACAATGGTGCATTAAACGAGCATCTAGTACAGAGCATACATGCAATAGAGGAAATAAAACTGGAATGCAAACTGACAGATGGCCATAGACAAATATCACGCATCATCACGCATGGGTAGTGCAGAATTCCATGACATTTTTCGTCGAATATCAACTTTCCATGAGCCCTTGTAAAATAACAAAATTTCATGAGTTTTTCATGACTTTCTATGAAAGCTTTAATTTCCAGGATTTGTCCATGACTATTGTACAACTATTAGAATAGAGTACATTTCTTACCCCTGCGTTGTCGTAGTACCCCTTGGCTAGAGACGCTATGCGGTCCAAGGTGGTTCCCGCTAAGGCTAGATTCGTGTTTGCTAATGACACCTCCTGGAAGAAATTTTTTTTATTTCAAGTTGATTGAGGGAAGATGAATCAAGTTATTTAACCATTTCGTTAATGGGATTGTGTTTTTTCCTTGTATCGGCATTATGGGCTCCGTGCGCCAACAAAAGAGGACGCCCTTTTACCTAGCAATGACGTCCCATGGGGGGGACACATACATTTCGCTGGTTGACATGCGCGCACCGTTCCTTAGTGTGTAACGCACGTACACCAGGGGATGTCTACTATGTACACGCAGTGGCCGCGCTTTGCGTCAAAATATTGCTGTCAGGCAAGATGTAGTTGTTCGGTCACCCCCAACTGTACTTTCTTTGCCAGTGAGGGGGTACTTGTGAACGGAGCGGATAGACCTAATCCCTGCACAGAGTTGTACACTCAATGGTGGACGCATTGTGCCAACGTATTCAGAATGACTGTCATGGAGTGGTTGTTTTGCACAATAGCTGGTTCAGGGCTTCTGCCATAACCGGGGGCCACTGTGAGTAACAGCGACTCTGTACCCAGGTTGGTTTATACACTAAAGTCCTAACAAGGCACTAAGGGTTACAAAAATAATTTAGTATGCAATTATTCCAACGTGGATTTGATCGAATATTTGATTTCAAAACGCACTGCTCGCGTTTAACATGCGTGCCCCTGCGCTTGTCGAAAATGGACAAAGAGCTTATTAAAATAATATAAAGAACAGGTATTGGATTGGTTATATTTGACCGATTTAAAAGAGGAAATTTCAGCTAATGTTCCTCATGGAAGTTCTCAAATCATGCGCAATAACGGCTTTCAACAAAAGTCCAAACAAATGTTATTTGGATATACGGTTGAAAATCGAATATTCAAATATTCGGTTATACTTGGCACAGCCCTAGTACAAAGATGGCAGAAATGTTGAATTCCACAAAACTTCAAGTTGGATATATATATTTCCACATATGGAGAACTCATTTGTAGTTTTCAGGTATTATTGAAAATGCTGAAGATGTTGTGTCAAAAATCGTGTCAGATGTTTGCAGGAAGTACCTCTGACATTTTTTCTGTTCCCTGTGAATCTCGTACACACACCTACCTACCTTGCTAAAGGGGCTCAGCGTTTGGCCACAAGTCATGTAGTAATCAAGAAAAGCTGAAGAAAGAACAAGAAAACATTGTAATGTAAAAAATTATGTCATGCAATTGCAAAAAATATCTGGGAAAATTTTTAGATATAGCAAGGCATGTCACAGCTGGCTGATGCCCGGATGACAGGCCATCAAAGGGAAAGTACTGCACACACACACACATAGCGGTCATTTGTTTATGGTGTACATGTAAATCGTTGACTTTCTATTGTTCCTCTTCCCTTTTCCTTTGTTTATACTCTAACTTTTTGGCAACAGCTCTCATTGGTTTTGTACATGTTTTGTAATTGAGGTTGTCCTTGATTTGGTACCTGTCCTCCATTCAACGATGATGTTGCACATGTGTGTCCTCGATTTACACCATAAACATACACAACTACACAAAGGGTGAAAATATGGATGTGTGTTTCTCATTATCTTCAGTTCTATTTGGTCTGTGGACTTCAAACTTGTTGGAGAATGTAGCCACACTATCCAGCTCACTATCCATGCAAAAATATCGGGGAATTTCTCATGACAAGAGGCCTAAAACTTGAGAAACATCATAGCTGGCCAAGTCCCCACTAACTGGCATTCTTGTGGAATTCTTGGACTCTTGGAGTAAAGGTTCCTCAAACATCTAATAAAGTAATTGTTAATCATGTTAATAGGCACGTTTCTTTTATTTTACAATTACAATCAACAAGTATCATTAATCTTGTCCAATATTGCTTATATAATAAGCAATATATATACTACCTTCCATACAAAGCCAAAAAGCTAATGAAAAAGGCATAAGTTTTAACTTCACAGTTTCAATTATTTAAGATTCAACACAGGGTCAGCTGATGAAATTATCCTAACCCGTCCCATAAACATGTACATGCACTTTTCTCTTAGGTTTTCAAAACCTAGGCTACATTCAAGCTTTGACTTTAGGAGAGCTTATGCACCAAGTTAAGAGTATTTCTATTTAGTTTGTATCTGAATGATTCCGAAGCCAGAGATCAAGTTGAAACTTGAGTCGAAATCTGGTTTCGAAAACCCCACAGTTGTTAGAGAAATTAACGTTACATAAGAAATGCACTGTCAATTACATACCATCTGACAAACCAGCTTTCATTTTGGCTTCTCTCTTTATATACACATCTGGGTCAGCACAGAAATCACTGATGCCCTGTGAAGATCAAGATAACTGTCATTGCAAATCGCTGTTCTAAGATGTTTTTTTCTTTTCCACATTTAATTCAGATTCCCCTTCATACACGGGTCAAGGCCGGTTTGTACTCGGCGCGAAAGCAGACGCGGAGCGAATATGACGTCAGGACGCATTCACTGCAAACTTCACCGGAGTCAAGATGTGTTCAACTTTTGCCAAATGCGCAGTGTGAAAAACTTGACGTGACGTCAGAAATTCGGCTTTATGGATCCACCTGTAGACTTCAATAGGCTCGAAGCACGGAGGAACCCTGGTTAGTTTAAATATGCGTGTCACTTACATTTTGTAAAGGTGACATTTGTTTTTGCTGTAATTTTCAGCAATGGATGGATTTTGGAGTTTCTATTTTATAGCAAATAGTGTTAAACTGACCTGTTTAATGTTTTGTGTTCATAGATGCTGGGAAAAAAACACGAAAAAAATGTGTTCTTGTAGTCTGGTTCCCTGACCCTACTTCAGACAAAACGGAGCAATTTATAGATGTCGGGGAATTGTCAGGTCGGGGAACCAGACTAGCTGGCTTGCACCCGTTCATGGATGTGTAACTGATTGCAAACAAAATGTGGATTAACTGAATTTAATAAATTGGGGGCAATTGTTTCTTTGTTTGTTTTTTTTTAGATTTTTCTCACATTTGCTGGGTAGGTATTCACAGACTGCTAACGAGGTTAGAACATACATGTGTACATGTATGTACATAAACAAAAATGGTCGACTCCAACTTACCAATGTGACAAACATGTCGGCACCAGCCATGCACCAGACTATCACCATGCCAGTTAAACACAGTATGGCCGAGCTGTGGAACAAACGCCACACGCATTTGAAAGGGAGGGATGGGTACCAGACAGAAAGATAAGTTGAAAAGAAGAGAGAGAGAGAGAGACAGAAAAAACAAAATAAAAATTGGTTAACGTAATGAAAGTCATTTTTAAATTGTTACTTCACATTGTACACATCATTACCCGCCAACCGAAAACCACTACAAAACCAAACATTTGGTTCTCAGATTTTATTGAAAAAAAGAAGTGTGCCCATTTTCTTGTGTATGTTATTTACAAAAGGACATGCACAACAGTTATTGCACAGAGCCAAGAACAATCTTTATGTACATCTATATATTGAGAATGAAAGTGCAATTACGATTCAGTAATCAAAATATTATTGTTTTGCACAGATGCATTGTAAAACGAAAATGAAATTAATTTCACTACTGTATGTGTACCGGTATTTTTCTGACATTATGCAAGAATTCTAGGGAACAGTAGGCCTACTCACTGAGAGCTTTTTTTTTAATTAATTTTTTTGAGGTTTATTTCATTGTTTCATTTTATTTTAAAAGGAATGTACGAACATGTACAATGTACTTAAAAGTACAAATGTACATCTGAGAATTTTTTTTAAATTTGTAAATGTCACTAAATGTGAACTTTAAGCCATATTTTGTCAATGGAATTGCTAACTGAAGTGCAACAAACAGTATTGTAAGGAGAATTGTATTCTCTATCCTCTACTAACAAAGCCCCATTTTGAACTCTGCCCACTGTTTCGTTTTGCCAGAATGCCTCACAAATTACTGTGACTGTTAGAAAATATACCTGGTTCAAAACTATGAGCAGTTATGACTTCGCAGCATTGTTATCAACAGAAATATCAACCTATGATATTATGCACGCCATAGTGACTGTAAGTGTAAGAAAGAGTCTATTGTGTTTGCCAGATGGGGTCGCATGGGTACCTTTAGCCAGGCGGCCAACATGACCAAGTTTGGAAGAAATTGCAGGGTGAGTCACCACCGTACGTGTTCTGTCTGCGACCTTCAAAGTTGCCAAAAGCTGAACTATTTTTAGGAAAGAATGGAAGTTTGTTGTGAAGGAAAAAAAAACCCTTCAAATGGCATGTTTTTTTTTTTCTGTCATGAGCAAGTTTCTGCTGTTTGCAGACAGAAAGCTAGTCTTGGTTTAAAACATTGCTGTTACGTATTTGATACGTAATCATCTACTGTGAAAAAAACCCAGATTGGCATATAGGATCATTTGCATTTATCACAAAAGTAACCTGTACCCAATAACTATCAAAAAGCTTTACTTGGATTAAAGATCGCACTGATACTATACACCCCGTGAAATGATTCCGTCTGGCTTGCTGTCAGTTCAAAGAAATCAAGGAGTGTATAGGAGATTTCCAACGATTAGTCAATTGACTGATTTTTGGAATAAGGAGTGCTATTGACAAAATTGTGTTTAGTGATCAAAAGGTTGCGCGTTGTTTTCACCATTTTCTCGAAAAGTGTTATACCTGCTGAGCTGAAACTTCAACAGGTTACCCTTTAAACATTCTTCTTTGGATTTTGAGTGGCGTTATAACAGAAATGAACAAAATGCAAGAAAAGCAAATGATCCAATGCCTTAAAACTTTTCAGCATTTCCAAAATTACTGTTTCCAACAAGGTAGAATGCAACAGCCTGGCAAATGCGAAACGATTAGGATATTCATGATCTCTGCACTATCAAAGACACTAATTCGGTTGCCTAAAGCTGTCTATCCGTTACAGTGTCATGTATCACTCGGAGGTACTGTACACGTCAAATAACTGGTGCGTTTCTCGCGTGTCGGCGCGGACCTCGGCGCCGACTTCCTGCGAAGACAAGCTTACCGCCATTTGGACACAAATACGATACAGACCCTCACGTGAATATTGCACACGGATGACACGTGTGCTATATTTAGCCGGAGGAGGGGTGGGGGAGGGAGGGTGTCAACCTGTTGCATAACAGTATAGGAAAAATAAATTAAATAGGGTTGGACAGTCAGACTTTTCCCGACCATATGCCCATTTCGTCAAGACAAAAAATGGATGTGCTCAGTCACATTTTGCATTGTGAGTGCATTCTCAGTTGATGAAAGAATTTGCAAGTGACAGTTTTAACTTCACTGTGCTAGCTCTTTCGTATGCGCAATTTCACTCTCTAATCTACATTGTATAGTATACAATGAATTCTAAAAACTGAAACACAGTTTACTGTAATTTATTGTGAACGTCTATTACTTTCCAAAATATTACTTTTGTTTTGCTCAATTGAGAAAAATACTGCAATATATTCAATTTCACTTTGTAAGAACAATGGTGTTTACCATATTGAAAGCTAATTTTTGTGTGTCATGTAATTACATGGGATAAAGCATGTACCGGTAGTCATGTACATGTACATGTACACACATTAACTTTGTATGTGGGTTACATGATATGCCTAATCAGCTTTTGATTCCTATTAAACTAAAGCATTTCCCAAGGGCGTGCATATAATTATCAAGTCACGATTCAGTGATAAGAGCAGGGTAGATTTTGTTATTTGTGCATTTTTTTAACGTTTGAAGCAACAAAAGTGCTCAAAATCTATAGACTGGTGGTTAACAACTAACCTGATGATGTTTGAGCTCTGTGAATGCTGTATATTCCAAGGAAAAACCCACAATATTCTAGGATCGCGTTTTCAAATCAAAATTTGTCGAGTCATGTTTTGAATTGCGCCCGAAATCCAGGACACGTTCTCTGTTCAGCCGATTGCAGCTACGCAATGTCGCACGCTCAACTGACGAATAATAGCAACCAAGTGCGCGTGTGCGTTGTGTCAACGCTTGCGCGCACCCATTCACAGATGTGCCAAATTACAAAACCAACTAACGGAATTTTTCCGATGCGTCAAGTGACGCATTGTTGGAAATTGCCTTCTTTCATTGTTTTCTTCAAAACAACAGCATGCCGGAAAGACTAATTTGACAGGGAGTTTAGTGTCTTAAACAAAGTAAGCTTCACAACAATAAATTTGTCAGTTACTTTTTGGATAGCTGCAAATGCAACACTGCCTTTAATCACATTGGCCCCACTCCTTAACCACTTGTCCCAGTACACGATTTCTAATAGACTTTAACAGATGTGCCAAGACGACTTTACCATCTGCTCTGGGCACAATGAGGAATTTCTAATTAAATAACGACGGAGATCCTTTTTACTCAGCTCCACCCCCCTTCCCCCTCCCCAGTTTCATTCCGACAACCCCAGCCGTGTGGGGCATGACTGGGATAAAACCACATCCGTTTCCTTACATTCTCCTGAGTGCGTTTGAAAAGCTAGGTCGACTACATGTTGTAATCCTGCAGTCTGTGTGGATGGAATCATTCAAATATATCAGACGAAAAAAGTGCGAAACATTTTCCATTCATCTTTCAATTCAATATACTCCCGTGTACATGTATATTGGCAACACACGTGTACTGTACATACATGCTTACTGGAATTTGTATCCTTGTGGAATCATTTCTTTCTTCTCATGTTCTAAAGTCTCGAGTTTGAAAGTGTAGTTTCAAAATGCTCTTATTTCAACCAGAATTAATTTCCTGGGCTCAAATTCGGATTTAATTTCCCTTACATAAAATACTTCAATTTGCGACAGATCAACCCACCTTGGAAATTCCTAGGTTTTGAGTAAAATCCATATATTTATTTTGGGATAACCTTGTGGAGACGTATTCATCTATAGAAATTGCCCTGTGGAGACATACATGTACCAGTATACAATCTTTTGTTCCCTATTATGCACATGTCTCCACAGGGTACATGTACCTTGTACCAGATCATACATGTACATGCTCAAAAACTTTGTACTCACGAACATGTATTGTATTGGTACATTATACTTTGTAAAATTACATTATACTTTGATCAAATGTCTGGTACATGTACAATGTAATTGTGCTTGATGACATGTACAAATGAGCTTGTCTTACATACGCAGTGTGGACTTCCGAACAAAAGACGTCCACATAATGTAGGTAGCAGCGACGAAGTGTGGACTTGCCCACGTCCACACAGTGTTTCCCCATTTCTGGAAAACAGGTTTAGAGGCATTTTTGGGTTAGGTTTATCTGTAGCAGAATGAAGAGAAACACTAAAGGGAATCATTGAAAAAAAATTGGGTTGTAAGAGTTTTCACAGTTTGAGAAAAATGAGTTTTTCCACTGGTGTTCCTTAACTACACGAAAAGAAAGAAAAGTCCACACTAGGTATGTGAAACAAGTCTGGGTGTACATGTATGTGTGTATGTGTCTCCTCCATAAATAGTAAAATGGTAACTTCAATGCGATATTCCGTATACAACTGATATTTTAACAGATAGACACAACGTAATTTGAACTTGTAAAGCAAAATGTACACCCCGTCTCTCTCCCTAAAAAACAGAAGGAATCCCCCCCCCCAAAAAAAATCTTTTCTGTAATCAACCCATATCTAAACTATTTTCTTTATTCAAAATCAGTTTTAGCATTCACCACCTACATGTAGTTTCACCAAAAAAATACCCCCCCCCCAAAAAAAAAACCCCCAAAACAATCCCTGATATTTGTCCAATGATATGTTTCATATCTGTCAACCAACTGTGTGGTTCAGGACTCCTGATAATGTAACCAAAAACTCGAATATTTTCCCTCCACTAACAAATTTCCCCATCATCTGCAACTAAAACCCTACAACCACCGCTAATAAATTCATCAACCAAATCCCCAATGTTTTCCATCCGCTGACAAAATTTTCTCTGTCGACTCTTAATCAGTGTGCATCCATCTCTCAACCGAAGCCCAATCCCTACGGATCGTCTTCCATCAGCAGGAGTGTGTCACCCCAGCCTGACAGAGTGTGAAAAGCTCCGTCTTGCCAGCTATAGACCAGCTGAATCCATTAATTATTCACCATAATGAGAACTTGATAGTTTTAGCGAAAGAAACGGGACGGTACTTTCGGGC